AGAAAGTCCAAGGGCTGACATACAGGGAAAGAGGAAAAAAAGGCTGAACACACAAACCAGAATCTGATAAGGAGCATGAGGACATCCAGACAAGGAGGTGGTCACGTGGTACAAAAAACAAACAAATGCACCAAACAGATACAGATATGAAACACAAGGAGTAGAAGGCAGATAGCCTGAATATTAGAGTACTAATGCAATTTTTGTCATATTTCCAGAAAACGTATAAGAAATCTATGAAAGAACCAATAATTGTTTTTTCTTGGAACTTCAAGACTGCCATGACATACATGGTCTTAATGAGATACACGGAGGGTCTGATGCTTGAAAGGTCATTTGTTGTTAATATTTATTGTTCATGGTTGTTATAATACTAGTAGGGCCGAATAGCACTTACTGGTCTCTGGATATTCAGGCCCAATTGATGATGAATATCCGAACATTCAGCGTGATGGGGAGAGTGCGCCCGACGGGTTCGGCGCGGTCAGGGGGTACCCGTCGGAGCGCACCCCCGGGGTAGAAGTGGCCGGAACGCACAGGCAGTACTTAGCTGCTGAGGCCGGTTTCGTTAGCGGTTACAGTTCTGTTTCCACTATCGGCGCCACTCCCCATGCCGCCGCCGCTCCCACCACAATCTGTGTTTACTTCCGTAAACACTGAGCACGCTCGCTGCGTGTGACGTCGTGTCCTCTTCTGCGCATGCGGGACAGTTGTGGGTCGTATGAAGTTCACACAGCAGATCACATACAAGTCGCGTTTAATTGGAAATGTGAACAAAGTCGCAAAAAAATCGGATTTAACAAAAAAATCCGAATTGAGCATTAAGTCCTGCAGTCTGAACGTAGCCAATCTGTCAGATTGTTCAGTCAGATAATACACTGTTATCCTTATTTGTGACATAAAATGTCATGTCGGAGTCAGAATCCAAGACTGTCAGTATGTTAAGGCTGTTTTTATGGGTTCCATTCGTTTTTCCTAAAAACCTGTCGGATAGCAAGGTTTTCAGATTGTTAAGGGTCGGATTTGGCCTGTATTTGTTGAGGACTATTTTCATCAGTGGATAAATCTATAATTTGTGCTTTGGTGAATATTAGTGGCAGTTGAGCGTTATGTGTGAGCTTTAAGAAGACATATAGGGGGGGAAAAAATATATTTAAAAAAATGTAATTATGTCCAGCCTTTCAATACTGTCTTATGGTAAAAGCCAACCGTATTTTAACTTTATAAATTGCATGTAATGAATGCAATGCCCAGACTATTCTGTCTCATTGTCATGTCTTCATCTTAATGTAAACGCCAGAAGTGCAGCAAAAACATAAATTCCACTCTCATGTTAACATACCTACTGAGGGTGCTGTCTGTCCTGGGTTTATAATACTGACAACATTGCCATCTACTGGGAAAAGATGTGAACGACTAGTAAATGAGCTTTAAAAACTTACAACTACACATAAACTACAGTAAGGTTTTCATGTTCCACATGTTGAAGGACAGACCAGGACCTCAGGAACTACACAGCTTCTGATACAGCTCTGTCTACTCTCCATCAATGATAACTGTAGCTGTCTAAATTTCGTTATTGTCAGTTTAAAAAAGCATTCCAGCATGAATTATTATTATGTCTTCAAATCTCACAGCAAAATCACATCCACAGATTTTGTTTTACCAATTAACCACAACACACTGTTTGCTGCAGAGCATGGTCATGTATGTGGGTAAGATGAACAGTCTTTCTATATTAATATGCTCATAATTTATATGAAACTTCACCAGGAGCACTGTTAAAGTATTTTTGGAGGCAGTGACAGGCAGGAAAAGTCCACTTCAGACTGAGCTGTCTGGTCAAATGATGTCATTAAGATTTACTATAAGACATAATCACATGACAAGAGACGTGTTTTTAGATAAATGCACATCATGGGAATACATTTGCAAGGAAAAACACACTGGAGTAAAAGTTTCCATCTTTAATGTCTCATATGACATCTAACATGGCAAACATCTGTCTCTCACTCCCACCCACTGGACCTTCTGTTTCTGCTATAACCTCAACTGATTTACCTGGTAACAGACTTTGTAATTTCAAGACATCTAACATGGATGACTTTTGGTTTATTTTGTTACTTTTCGTGGGCCTATGACATTCAATATCTAGGTTAAATAAGTCACTTTAAATATTAAGTGCAAATCAATCCCAGGCCTCACTTGTAGGTGAATTTATCACCATTTCAGATGACAAACCGTAAATGGGTGAAAACATACCTGGTATATAAAAGGATGCTGTAAACAGCCCTGCTGCTGCTGTGCAGCTCTCTGAGGTTTTATGTGTTGCTTCTCTGTGCGGCCAGCAGGGAGAGTTGTTGCCTTTTGCCAAATATTAAAAGGAAGATTTTTCTGCTAGTTTGCAAATCTGATTCAATGACCTTTATCACTGTGGATTACAATCTAACAACAAGAAGTCTCACATCGAGTTTTATGAGTGTATTCGCTAAAACAAATTAGAAAATGAAATAAGTTTATGGTCAGTGTGTGAATGATCATTGATCAGTGTTATCGTCATTAGTGGAGGGACCCTTGGAGGCTTAGGTCGGCACTGCCAGTATGTTTTATTGTAGTTAGGGTGTTCTTTTCCGTATGGACTTTATTTTACCACCTATTAACAAACTACTCCATCCATCCATTATCTATACACCTTAATCCTCACTAGGGTCATGGGGGGCTGGAGTCCATCCCAGCTGACTGAGGGTGAAGGCAGGGGACACCCTGGACAGGTCACCAGTCTATCACAGGGCTACACTTAGAGACAGACAACCAAGCACTGTATCTGTAATTCTATTCATTAAAGGATTTTGAAAAACACTGGTTTGCGAAGTGTCCTTTTTCGCTAGAAAAAATTGAAACAATCAGCTCCTTTATATGTAACAAAACCAACATTATACATCATTTCAGATCACACTGAAAATCAAGAACCAGTGCACCTTGACTGGTTTTTATTTGATTGAGCAACTGCTTTAAATTCATCAAAAAGGTGCCAAAAAGGTGCCCAGCGTACATTTTATGTCTGTCTTTTCATTGCACTATGTAAACATGTTTATTGTTGTTGTTTAATAATTTTGTTACATCTTATTAAAATATTCTGATCATATAAAATTGGTTAATTTTTATTTATTTCTCAAGATATTCTGATTCATATCAGAGGTGAGATTATGAGGTTCCAATAATTCTGACTGTCCTGGTCACATGTATAGCCTCAAAACCTCATTATTTACACAAAATAAAGGGGAAAAAAATAAGTCACACATCACACAAGTTTAACATCACAGAGTTTATCAGAGCATCACTACAAATTATATGTTTACCACTGAATTAGAATCATTGTTAAGTTTCAAATTAAATGATGACTATAAAGTAATCCTGTCAAATAGTAACTCAATCTCAATACTCAATCAAAAAAAAAGAAAAAACTTAGGCTGCAGTGGTCATTTCAGCAAGGTTATACAAAACATGACAAACAAAATGTGCACTTTATCCAAAGTCCAATTGGAAATGATGCAGATTAGAATGCCTTTAGAAAATGTTACGTGTGTTTTTAATAAGCTGTTGTACTGCAAAGTGAATACATGATGAAGTCTAGTTTGAATTTGTAGTAAATCTACACTCATACAAGATAACTGATGATTGTGACTGTTTTCACTGCAATACTTCACTATTTCTGTTGAGTACCCACCACACAACTGACTACTGGATATATCAAACTTTACATATTTACATCATCTTTAAACGTCCCTTAATTACTCAAACTAAAGTAAGCCACAGTAATGATAGGAAGCATACAGCTTTGAATGACTCCTACTGCCACAGACACACAGTTCAACATTAATCAAAAACAACAAAATGACAATTCTTTCATTTTGTCCACCACTGTGGCAAAAGTGGTGAAGTAACGATCCGTTATGTCGCCATGCTGTTCACCATAGTAGTTACAAGTAGGAGAAAGCTGCAAAAACTCAGTGATTTGTGTACTTTCTAAAGAGCGTTTAACGTGATAGAGCTGAGAGGAGGAGCGTGTGTTCTGAGGACTGAATGTGTAATGTGTTCTTTACTCATTATGTAAGTTCAGTCGTGACACGATAATCCGACACTAAATGTTAAACCTCCTGTTATGTCCAATAGCAAGGCTGTTGGATTGTCAAGACGGAGGTCGAGATACAAGGAGGGCTTGATGCTGGAAGGGCAACTTGTTGTAAATATTCATTGTTTATAGTTGTTATACGAACTAGTGTATTGTTAGAACACTACGCATCGCTGGATTTCACGCCTAATTGACTGATGTGGTTGTGCACGGCCCGTCGGTTGACATCAAAGGTAAATACGTTCAGACAGCGACTACTGTCTGAACGGCCAGGTCGCACTTATCCGACCTACACATCATTGATACACAATGAAAAAGCGGGGGCGTTCCAGCCACGTTCCGGCCACTTCCACTCCGTTGGAGCGTACCCCCAGGGTGGAAGTAGCCGGAACGCACAGGCAGTACTTGGCTGCTGATGCCAGTTTAGTTAGCGGTCACACTTCTGTTTCCACCATTGGCAGCGGTGGCGGGTGAGTGGTGGATACGCTCCACCGTTACCATCAAGGTTTACTTCCGTAAACACTGAGCACGCTCACTGTGTGTGACGTCGTCGTGTCCTCTTCTGAGCATGCGGGACACTTTTGGGTCATATGAAGTTCACACAGCAGGTCACATACAAGTCGCATTTAATTGGAAATGTGAACGACCTCACAAAATAATCGGATTTAACAAAAAAATCTGAATTGAGCATTAAGTCCTGCAGTGTGAACGTAGCCAATCTGTGGGATTGTTCAGTCAGATAATACACCGTTATCCTTATTTGTGCCAAAAAATGTCATGTCGGAGTCGGAATCCAAGGCTGTCGGTATGTTAAGGCTACTTTTAATGGGTTCCGTTCGTTTTTCCTAAAAACCTGTCGGATAGCAACGTTTTCAGATTGTTAAGGGTCGGATTATCGAGTCACGACTGCACTCTGTATTTAAGCATTTTGTGTTGTTGGGATGAATTCAGAAACCCAGATCAGTTCTGTGAATTGCGAGTGTTGCATATTCAAACTCCTGTGAAAACTAACCCAAAGCATTAGTAAAATACTGTAGTAAACAACTGAAAGCACATCAGCTCCTGTACGAATTACTTTTTTTCTTCGGTAGTAATAAAGCAAGCAATTACTGTCAGCCTATAATTACTGGCAATCTCCACAACAGACCTGAGTGGTCTGAGTGGAACAGCAACAGGACTTGATTAATGTTTTTCTCTGTAAACATGTTTCAGTTGTCTGACTGAACGTATGACAGGCCTCTCTAAAGAAGACAAAAATATAGTTGAGAAACTGACACCTGGAATGAGCAAATCCCTGACTTCAAAGTAACAAAGTACTTCAGTCACATTCAACTTAAAATCATGAGCATAAATCCAAAAATCATTCCTCCAAGCTATGCAACCAGTTATATTCTGCTTTGCACTGGTATTTTCAACAATTCAAACCATCCCATGCTCTCATGTATTGCTAGGTCCTCATGTTTCCTTTACAGATCCACGATCTCTTCCCAAAGGAACTCAAGCTGATGTGTATGAAGCTCTCTGGAAACATAGTGAGAGCACTTAAATCCTTGTCCACAAACGGCTGTCTATGTTTCTATTCAGGGCCAGACCTGGGAAAATAAACAGAGTGAGAGGTGGGCACGGGGTCCAGAGGACTGTCTGCATGCTCTGTTTCTTGCGTGTCTGGTGAGGGAGCAAACAGTGGAGACGGTGGTGATGTTCCATCATCTATGTTGTGCAAAGACACCACCTGGATTGGGCTGCTGTGTGTCTTCATGCCTCCACTGTTATTATCCTTCTCTTGGTCTTCCTCACTTCTAGTCTTTCTCTGTTGGCAGCTGCTAGTAAGTACTTTCAGGTGATTTAAGTCTAAGTTGGGGTATGAGCTTGACTCACTCATGGCCTGGAGAAGTTTGTCCAAGCCGTCCGAGCCTTCGTTGCCTGCCGCGCGGCACAGGAGGTGGGTGTGCTGACGAAGCTGGGCAATTTCTCTCTCAGTGGCTGCGTTCTGTTTCAACAGCTCCTTAGTGCGTAGTGTGATGGCCAAGAGGCCCGACTGGTTGAGGATGTCTGCTGTGTTAAGGAAACGGCGATGGCGTGTGGACGAGCTGTCTGGAGTCAGGCGATATGGGCTGTGAGCTGCTGAAGAAGAGGGAGACGAGGAGGGGGGAGAGGAGGATGAGGGAGATTCGGAGGAAGAAGGCAGCGAGGGTGTCTTGGAGCTAGAAACGGAGGATGAGTGTATGCTGTCAGACCCCGAGCTCTGTTGGCTGTGGTGGGACTTGTGTTGGGTGGTGGAGGAGGCGTAGCTGGGGCAGGAGTTACGGCCTTCTCTGCCGTTATGCTGGGAGTGGACTCTGCCCTCTTTCTGATGCTGGGGCCTCAGGAGGTGGCTGCTGGTGGATACAGTCTCCCTCTTCTCTTCCTCAATGCACACCCTCTTACTCTGGCTTTGGCCTTCACTGCTGCTCTCTTTAACCCCGTCTACCCATGTGGCACCCTTGCCCTGATGGACATCCTTGGTGGGGTGGGGGGCAATGCGAGGGTAAGAATTCAAGATGGGCAGGTATGAGTTCTTGCTGCTGTGGTTGCTGTGACTACCTCCTTTTTTAACTTGACACTGTGGGGGGGCGAGACAAGGTGTTGTGGTAGTGGAGGAGGGGGTAGGCACTGTCGGCTGCTGGATCAGCAGGAGTTGGGTGGGTGCTTTGCCGCTGGTCAGGCTGTGCCATCCTCCACCCCACGCCAGGGGGCCGTGCAGAAGCTGCTCCGGTCTAGACTGTATCGCCAGGAGGTTGTGAGCAGGGTGTTATGTGAGCAGCAATTTCAGACCACAGAAAGAGAAAGAGCAAAAGATCGAGTGGAGGTTAAAGTTACAAAAAGAAAAGCAGTCGCACACAAAAGTAATGAGGCAACAAGACGTGAAGAAATACAGCAGTCAGATGATGTAAATGGATTATAAGTTGAGGTCAAAGTTGTAACACAAGATTACGAAGACAAAAGAAAAACATCTTGCAATATCTGACAACGGACTTTTGATTTGTAGTCATTTAACTATTGATACCATTTCAAGCCTTTAGCAGTTAGAGGCTGCTCCCTTTTAAAGGATTTGTGGGGACTAGAACAGAGCTAAAAGGACTGTGGATTATGGACTAAATTTATTGGATAGACACACAAATGAAGCTTCTTATCTCCAGGATGTGATCATTTACAAGGTTGGGTAACTGTATGTGTATACATCCATCCACTATCTATACACCACATAAGCCTCACGAGGGTTGTGAGGGACTGGAGTCTATCCAAGCTGACTCAGGGTGAAGGCAGAAGACACCCTGGACAGGTCACCAGTCTATCACAGGGCTACACTACAGACAACCAAGCACACTCACATTCACACCTACGGACAATTTAGAATCACCAATTAACCTCAACATGTTTCTGGACTGTGTGGGAGCAAGCTGGAAAACCCAGAGAGAACCCACGCTGCACGGGGAGAACATGGAGACTCCACGCAGAAAGATCCCGGGACGTTAATCGGCGACCTTCTAGCAGCGAGGCAACGGTGCTAACCATCAACCCACCTTGCAGCCCTATGTGTATACAGTCATTTGCAAAAAAAACAATGCACATCCTGTGGAAACTATTGGTTTTGAACAACCAAACCTCTTTGAAATCAGCGCTTACAAGAAGACATAACACACTGAAATGACATATTAAAGCAATAGTGTGTGGTCATTTTTATAATTTCTATAAATGCAAACAGATTATGCACATGGGAAAAGTAAGTACACTCTGACATTTATCACACCTTTAATCCAGATTATATGCTTCTGATTAGAGCCTACTGTGACAGCTGGAACCTCTTATTTAAACTTTTCACATGGAGCCACACACCACGTAGCTCCTGTTAAAGGATCTTATTTGCCAGCACACTTTAAGCACAAGCCTCTTCTTCAGACTTAATTTCTCCTTGATTTTTTGTTCCAGAATCCATCCAATCAGACACGAGGACACGTGTGTCATTTTTACTTTTTCTGTATGTACTTATTTTGTACATGAGACTATATGTTTATAGCTTGTTTCTGCTGTTGTTTGAGATCTAATAAATAAACTATTATGATATAAATCATATACTGGACAGCTTCTAAAACCCCTTAAAGGCAAATTTGTGATTTGGGTATTAATACTGGGCTTCATTTAAAAAAATGATTTGAATTTCTTAATTTAAATGATGACTTTATAAGACTTACGCATTTTAAATCAATAGTACTTGTACGCTATATATACTGCAACAAAGTCGAATAACTAAAAAACCACTGATGTGTAATTGAACATCTCACCGGCTTCACCACCAGATTTTTGAAGACGTAAATGGGGGTGAGCTCCTCGTAAGTAGTGATGTTGTTGCCTGCACCACTGTTGTTGTTCGAGGTTTTGCTGCGTTCCCTGTGAGGTTCGCTCACGCTGCTGCGTTGGTCGTCTACATCCGTGTGCACAGAGTCAGAACCTGCCTCTGAGGAGAGGAAGATAGGGACAGATAGACCAAATATAGGAAGAACAGAGCATTGCAAATAAATGGTAAATGGTCTGCACTTAGCCAAAGCGCTTTATAATGTGTTTCTCATTCACCCATTCACACACACATTCAAATACACCAATGGTGACAGAGCTGCCACTGGGAGTAACTTCAGGTTCAGTGTCTTATACTGTGGAGGGGCCGGGGATCAAACCACCAACCTTGTGATTGGAGGACAACCCGCTCTATCACCTCAGCCACAGCTGCCCTCAGAAAGGCTACTGAGGCTTAACTTAGCCAAATAAATGAAATAAAGACATAGATATTATTCTTTATTTTATTATTTTATGTTTGTTTCAATCTCAGGTTCATAACAGATTAATCCAGATGTTTGAATGCAAAAAACAATGGAAAAAAACTGTCAGTAAACCGAGAACATACAAGGACCAAAGACATGATGACAGCTTAAAGCTCAGTAGGGGGCACTTGTGGTCAGATGGTTGCTGAAAAACATCAGGGTGGGTAAAGTAAAAGAGCAACTTTCTAAAGGATGGAGAGGGATCACTGCCATCACTAAGGGTTCCCCTGAACAAGGCGCCCCATCCCAACTGCACCAACAGAGTGAAATGTTTTGAACTGTGACTGAGAGTGAGGCGGTTCCTAATAAAGCAAACACGAATGTTCTGGGATGCATAAAGATTACATGTCTGTGAAGATTCTCAGTCATCCAGGTCATGGTTATTCTTGTGGATTAATCGAAGCAACTGGACTTGCTTGAGTCCCCCTGCCACAATGGGGTACCGGGTTAACGAACCCCACTGTGGCAGGGGGAGCACTAACGATTCACATAACGAGGGGGAGGAGCAACAAACCCCCCAACTGAAACTGAAACTCAGTGTTAATGACTCCTTTAGGATGTAAGTATCTGGAACTCCCAACTAGTTAGTCAGAGCTGATGAAGCCTCTTGGATGAGAGGTGAAACGTCTTCAAGGAACTCAAGCAAGTCCAGTTGCTACGATTAATCCACGAGAATAAAGATTACAAGTTCACAAGGACTGACATCATGAAAGGCAGAAACACATATTTAATTGAATGAAACCAGCAGGGTATTCTTGAGGCCTGCATCACACTCAGACACACTCAGCTCACCTGAGTATCCTGAGTCTTTTTCAGAGTCCTTCTCTGAGTGGCAGCGCAGCATGCGGCTGCCCACATCACCCATTCCAGATTGCTGCCTTTCGCTGCCACCCTGAGATGCCCGCAGCGTGGACCTGTTAGTTTTATCCTTAGCATTCTTTGAGATTCTGTGGGCAGCCCGCTCCCCTAAATGCCCCTGTTCCTTTGGCATTCCACAACTGTAAAAAGGAGGACAAACAATCAACTCACATATCAAGGATAGCTCACCAGTCTATGACAGGGTTACACAGAGAGACAACCAGAATCAGAATCAGAATCCTTTTTAATGTCATTTTACCAAGAAAAAAACAACATATTGGGTGCAATCCCATTCAGTGCAAAGAACAACTATAAATTAACAAACTGTGCAAGATAAAAACTAGACAAACTAGACAAACAAGACGTTTGTAGAGCCTATAGGTGTATAAAAAAAATAAATAGTGACAATAGGTATAAAATAGATATAAAAATGTGAGTATTTACAACAGCAGCGAGCAACAGAGGTACCTGAGAAAATGCTTGTGGTAGATTACACATGAGTACATGTCATGTGACATATTGCAAACTGAGAGAATACTTGTCACTGGATTCACAGGGATGGTGGTGGGAATGGAACGTATTACAGGTTATGGCTCTGGGGAAAAAACAGTTTTTTAGTCTGCTGGTTTTTGTCCTGATGCGCCTGCCTGAGGGCAACAGGTCAAACACATGGGACCCAGGATGTGAGCTGTCCTTGATGATGTTTCTTGCCCTACTGAGGCAGCGGGAGGGGTAAAAGTCCATCAGTGAGGGGAGAGGGCAACCAACGATCTTCTGTGCTGCTTTGATTACCCTCTGGAGCCTCCTCCTGTCTGCCTCAGTACAGCTTCCATACCGTACAGTAACACAGTATGTCAGCAGGCTCTCAATGGATAGAAAGTCAGCAGCAGTTTAGTGTCCAAGTTGTTCTTTCTGAGCAACCTCAGGAAGTGCAGACACTGCTGGGCTTTCTTGGTGACAGCTGTGATGCTGGTCAGCAAAAATGAAGGCTCCAAGAAACCTGAAGGAGTGGACCACACTCACACTCACACCTACGGACAGTTTAGAATCACCAATTAACTTCAACATGTTTCTGGACTGTGGGAGGGAGATGGAGAACCCAGAGAGAACCCACGTTGCACAGGGAGAACATGCAAACTCCACACACAAAGATCCCAGGTGTCCTCACCGGGATGCGAATCGGCGACCTTCTTGCTGCGAGGCAACGATGCTAACCACCGAGCCACCTTGTAGCCCCCGGTGAAATATATAAGTCTGAAATAGCTATTACCCAGGCACATGAAAAAAATGTTTTATGCTTTAGAAATAAATGTTATTTCATCACACTTTTTCGTGCAGTAACGTGGTTTACTGCAGCTCAACTGAATTTAGTTCTGTTGTTCTTTCAGACGGTCTGTTTCCTGTTACTGACTTTTTCTCATTTATCATCCCAATTTTGACCAGATCTTCAGAACACAATGCAGACAACAGTACCAGGAAAACACAGACATTAGTGATTATTATCTCTTTGTCCCTGTGCATGCTGGTGCCTCTCACACCTGAAGAGGACAGCTCAGACCACGAGTTAAGCTGGAGTTCGTAGTTTATCAAAACCTGTGCTAGTCTTGACACTGCAAAACTTCAGACAGGCTACAGTTTCCTTTTAATTCTGTCCAGGCTTTTGTTGCTAGCACGACTATTTAGCCACTGTCAGCCCTTTGTGAATAAATGTAACTGGGATAATATTACTGCAAACAATAGTTTGAAGTAGTATGCTATGGATTTATTGCGCAATACCTAAAAAGTCTGTTTCATGAATCCGCTAATAGCTTGTATGGTGCTCTAACACTGGATCATGATAGTGGTATAAATATTGTGTTAAGAATATTATTGGTGGCCTGTCAGAAATCCATTACAAAGAAATAGCTGAAAAAGGAGGCACCCAGTGTAGATGACTGGATCGACACTGTGCATGGTATCTTTGTGACGGAAAGAATTACTTTTAACTTGTATAAACATGTATTTGTTGAAAATTGGCAAAAATGGACTGCATATATTTCTACCATTAGACCGGACTTCAGGTAAACTTTGGTTAAATATCACTTTTAATATTTTTGTCATAATTATCTCTCTTTGCTCCATTCACGACTGGAAATCTCTACAAGTCTCTTATTTTTTTAAAAATGTTATCCCCCTGATGTTAAATACTCACCAAAAGGTCTTCTTGTTCATTCTTCTTGTATTATTATTATTATTATTATATTACTTTCTTTCTATTACAAACAATATATAATTGTACAGTAAGTTATTGTTATTATTATTATCATTATTACTAATATTGCACTGTGCTGCTACTCTCTACTGTCACTGTGTTATTGTGTAATGTATATACACACGTATATTTATTTATTCATATATTTATTTATGTTCTATATATAGACACTCAACTATATTTACCTATAAATACACTGATTATCATATTATAGAGCACATTATTTACATTGCTATTATGATTCTTCTTCTTCTTCTTCTTCTTATTATTATTATTATTATTATTATTATTATTATTATTATTACACCGTGCTGCTGTTCTTCCTAACAGCTTGTTTCCTTCGTTTCCTTGTCTACTGCTTTTTTGTGTGTGTGCTGTTTCTAGAACAACAATTTCCATTAGGTACCCTGCCAAAGGGATCAATAAAGTTCTATCTAATCTAATCTAATCATTGTTTTTGTGTTGTCTGTCTACAAAATGAAAAATCAACAAAAAGAAAATGACAAATGACAGCACAAGTCACGTGAGAAAGTTTGGGTGGAATAGTAGAAACCGGAGGAGTGAGTGACAACACACAAATTACAGACTGTTTTAAATAAAACCTCACAGATCTGACTTCTTCTAAGGACCCATAATACTTTCATTAAGGTCTATTTGACATTCCAGCGTGCTCTAAGATGGATGACATTAACAAAAGGTTGCAGCCAGGTTAATGCCAGCGTCGCCCGTGGTCTGCTCTCAGCCTCCTGTGTCAGCAGCAGCAGCAGCGGCGGCGGCGCTCTTATGTAACAGCCGTGAACACACGAGCGGCTGGAAGTCCACATGACGACGCGCACAAGACGCACCGAGAACACCCAAAGCCTGTAACAGCAGCACCGAGGAGCTGCCCGACGCACACCATCACATGAAACCCAAGTCTTGTGCTGCACGTCGGGTCGCTGGAGAAAAGTTGAGACACTTTGCAACTCCTCGGATCAAATAGTTTACTCACCTGTCAGTGTTTTCTCGCCAGGATGAGAGAAAAAAGCCCACTCTGGCAGCAGAAAACAAGCATCTCCGCAGACAAATCCTCTTCCGGCTCGCTTTAGTAAATGTTCAAATGATGCGTGTTGAACGTGTCCCGAGCGTCCCGGTCCAGGACACACGGCCCGTCCGACCGTCCACTGACAGCCTCCATGATGTCCATTTACCTAGCCACGCCCACACGTACATATTTAGAAGCGCCTCGGCGTTCTGAAGGTTCGCTGGTGACGTAGGGGCCACGGTTTGGCCAATCCCGTGCCGCGACACGTGTTTGGGTGATGACGTCGGGCAGGCCACGTGAGGCGTGCGTTGATACTAGTATGGTGCGTTTGCTTGCTGCGGAAAATGTTAAACCCGACAAGCAGAAGACACTTTAAAGTGCATTTAAATATCTACACTGTCGCTATGACGAAGCTACAGGAAAAGGACACATCTCCTCATTGTCATCAAATCACAGCGGGAAAAGGTTAATCTAAAAATAGTTTTAAAGTAATAGATGGATAGAAGATAAACTTTTATTTCAAATTAATTAGGCATTGCATACACACACCCACCCACACACACACACACGCAGCATATTAGTATACTTTTACTTCGCAGGGCTTGTTTATTGTAAGCTTAAATTAACCCAACTGTGCATGAACCACCAATCAACTCATTTAAAATCACGGCCGGTTGTGTGTGGAGCCGTCTGTCAACTGCACAAAGACACCACCATAACATGTTTCAACAGCGGGAGTGTTAAGTTTATTCCAACAGGACATGAATGCAACGCGGCAGACGGCGGATGTGTGCGGCAGCATGTGAGGCAGGCCGTGAAGGCGTGGTCGCTCCCCGGCAGCACATGTTCCTTGCTGGGGGAGAGTCGGAGAGCACCTTGGCTCCCGTGTGTCTGGTCCGGAGCGCGGCGCAGCAGCAGAGAAAGCGAGCGGTTACCTGGTTACGTAACAGCGCAATTCTTCCGTTGTCTGAACGTGACATAACTCAGAGTCCCACAGGACGGACACTTACTCCTCAGCAGCCTGTTAGTGTGGACAGAGTAAATATTGAGGCTGAAATCTCCTGCGATTTGCATTCTGGTGAATATACCAAACAGTTTTTCACTCTTATTCTTCTGCAAATCCAGCCCCTAATGATGAACTATTCAGGGGTAATCCAGATTAGGATTTCAATATGCAAAAGGTTTTTAATTATTGTGAACTGGTTAATTTCCTAATATTATAATATATAACAGTTTCCTCTGTGTTTCTGCATAGTTTTAGGAACACAAGCTCATAAACTGCCAAACAGTAAAGTAATGCTGTTGAAACCATGTATTGCCCTGAAAAGAAAATAGGATTTACACAAGTTTTAATGGTGAAATTCACAGAAAAAATAACATTTTTGTGCTACATCAAGTCATCCCTCACAGACTCACACTCACACCGACAGACACATTTAGAATCACCTGTTAACCTCAGCATGTTTTTGGACTGAGGGAGGAAAGAATTTTATTTGTATATCAACAATTCACAACAATTGTCATGTCATTGCACTTGGTGAACCCAATGATCCAAAGTTCTCTTTGGAGTCCCTATGAGCAACCAGTCCATGATGGTGGGAAGGTATGGAGTTATGTTTGTGCCACAATCCTGAGTGGGCAATGACAAATTTTGACTGCAGACCAAAATCTTGAGCAAATAAAAGCTTATCTTAAGCAAACAAAAATCTATTCTGCGCTACTACTGCTGTGTTTGCAACCATCAACATACACACACGATCATGCTGTCTTTCACTCGGTTTTGTCATTTGTGTTCTCACAGATCTCCATTCTGTGCACTCAATGACACATTCACGCTGGCTCGCGATGTCTTTCTTGCGCACAGCACTGATAATCTGTTCAAGTTCAACTCTGCCTGCACGTTCGTTCACAAAACCAGCCAATCACAGCCTTGCACAGGGTGGCTGACCCTATCCAATCATTGGCTGGTGAACAAATTCATTTGGTAGCTGGGTTCAGTTTCACCAGCCACACCCTCCTATGATCACTGCCAGGCTTGTTGAGTCATCACTAAATAGAACCTGTCCTGGCATTGTGAGGAAAGCTAAAGGGTCTCATCAAAAAGCACCACATGATGCCACGTCCTAGAGAGATTCAAGAACAGTTGAGAAACAAAGTCATTGACATCTATCAGTCTGGAAAGGGCTACAAAGCCATTGCTGAGGCTCTGGGACTCCAGAGAACCACAGTGAGAGACATTATCCTCAAATGGAGAAACATGGAACAGTGTTGAACCTTCCCAGGAGTGGACGGCCCACCAACATTTCTCAAAGAGCACGTCAACATCTCATCCAGGAGGTCACAGAAGAACCCAGATGAACATCAAAAGAACTGCAGGCTTCCCTGGTCTCAGTTAAGGTCAGTATACATGATTCCACAGTAAAGAGGACACTGGGCAAAAACAGCCTCCATGGGAGAGCTGCAAGGTACAAACCACTTCTGAACAAAAAGAACATAAAGGCTCATCTGGTACTTGCAAAAAAAACTATGTGGATGAGCCCCAAGACTTCTGGGACAACATCCTGTGGAACTTTTTGGAAGACATGGGTCCCGTTACATCTGGTGTAAACCTCATGCTGCATTCCACAAGAAGAACATGATACCAGCAGTGAAGCATGGCGGTGGCAGTGTGATGGTTTGGGGCTGATTGGCTTCCACAGAACCTGGACTTGAATCCAATTGAGATGCTGTGGCAAGACCTGAAAAGGGCAGTTTATGCTCAAAAACCATCGAATGTGGCCAAATTAAGAGTAGTCTGCAGAGAAGAGTGGGTCAGCGTTCCTCCATGGTGATGTAAAAGACTGATCACCAGTTATGGCAAACATTTAACTGTAGGTGTTGCTGCTGAGGGTGGCGCAACCAAGTATTACATTTAGGGGGCAATTGCTTTTTCAAAGGGCTGATATAGGTTTTCAATGAATCTTCAATAAATGTATTAATTTATTTTACTTTTAAAAACTGCATTTTGTGTTTTGTGGGTTATCTCTGTCTAATATTAAAATGAGTTTGATCATCTGGAACATTTGAATGTGACAAAGACATCAGGAATGGGGCAATTACTTTTTCACAGCAGTGTATGTCTACAGCAGGGTTTAAGGTTTGTCTTAAGCAGTAGTGGAAAGACACCTGGGATTACATATAATCAGTTTGTTGTGGTGGTAGTTCTTGTAACAGAGAGCAAAGCTGAATATGTGGCAGACAACAGCCTACGTTTCACTTCTGCCTTTTGTGATCTCACATTTGCTGATAATACTGAAAAGAATCAAGACACAAGTGCGAGGATGTTTTAAGACAGTTAAAAGGGTGTATTGGATCATTGTCTTTCAGAATTACATTCACAGACAAATAGAAATGAATTGCTTGAATAGAATAATGAAACAAAAAACATACATTATTTTCAACCATTTTGGATTTTCCTAATTTGAGAATATCTGTGAAGGAGATACAGTAAGGATGAGAGAAAAACAGCATGTTGAGAGATAAAACCAGAAGAAAAACTAGACAATGCTAAAAAATAACGGAAATTATTTAGAAACATGGTAGGCTCTGTGAGCAACAGGAAGTTTATAGGGCTGTCTGCACAAGTTCTTTTTATTAAGGGTAACTCAACGGTGCAGCACAAACACCATTTAAATGTATAGTACTACACTTGGTGTTGCAAATCACAACAGTGCACTCCTCCATCTAATGGTAATATGGCCAAGGGTAAAAATTGAAACTAAGGAAAAAAAAAAAAAGATATCTTTGCAGATCACCACTGCACTCAAACTCAACATTTAAAATGAACCATGTTCTTGATGCACGCAACTATATGGATGTTTTTGTGTCCAATCAAATCTAGTGGCACACTCCAGTGTGAGAAGCAGCTACAGTTTGGAAGCACCAGAACACTGTCGGCAAAGGAGGATTCAGGGGGGAAAAAATGACAAATCCTCAGATGCCAGGAGACATTACAGTGTGTTAACTCTCAGCCACAGCTTCAAACTTGTATAATCTCCAACACAATTGAACAAAAGACGGTGAATTCTGATCTGAGGAAAGGCAACTTTCATAAAAAGGCTACAATCAGATCTAACATCTGTGAGTGAACTGGAATATTATACAGCTAACTTTGGAGGCTGGGAGAGGAGAGACACTACACATCTAAACATATCTGACAGAGCGATGAACTCAGTTTTGGTGAAAAAGCAAGCCTCCTGTTGTTTTCAACAGTAGTGCCGATACAATGTCTGTTGGTATTTCATTTTAAGTTTTTCTAAACTTTTGTTATTGAACAACAAAAGTCAACGTTCTCAAGTGTTCTAAAATGCTAAATGCCACCTTAATACAAAGATGCACAAGAACTTGGTTGAAGTAAATAGCGTGAAACGAGCCAAATGTTGATTTGAGCCAGAGGCTTTCTGACAAGATATTTCAAGGCAGATTTTGGTAACGGACACGAGTTTGGATTCTCAGGGCAGCAGACACTACCTGACACAAACACAGAAAACCTACAGCTACATTATGAACACGGGTTTTAGGGAATTAGGTTGCTTTAAATCGCTAAGTGCTTGTTGAGCCGCTTAAATCAAATGGATTGTGTGTATTTCGCTGATCAAGTAAGATCAAAAATGGGTCAGATCGAAAAGGTTTTGAAAAATAACATATATAGATTGTACATAAAGGTGTTCCCAATTACCATTAATTGCTGTGTCACCCTTGACAGATCTACTTACAAAGATAACATTCTGAAATGAGGGCAAACTAATATACAAGGAATTTGTTTTCAATGCATACAGTTTAAAAAGGACAGCCTCTCTCACCCACACCTTTCATTTCATCAAACTTTTTTTGTTTTTTCCTAAAGACACTTTGATCATCATGTGTTACCATTCATTTGTTGATCCTGATGCACATTAGGCAACCGTTGTACAAAGAAACACAAAACACATGCCCTCACAGACTCACTCTGATTAAACAATTCAGTCTGGATTTTGATGCCCCCGTTTTCTCAACACACAGACACACACACACACACAGATACACACACTCCAGGTCTGAAGAAGAGCACTTGAAAACATCATGAAGGACCTGTATGGCTTTTTAAAAAGACTATAAAAAGACAAGTGTTTAAAAACGTTTGGTGGCTTAGAGTGAAAAAGCAGCAGCAGTTGTTTATAAGCCATCTGACGGTACTGGAGGCTAAGCCCTGACTGTGTTTTTCAGTTGTGCTGATGACTAAGAAAGGTACTGGAGTCCAATTTGATACAGTACATCCAGTGTGACCAGGCTTTGTTCGTAGTGTGGACGAGGGGCGCGCTACGGAACATTACAGCCACCAGCCAAGGCACTCTGGTCCTGTCAGACGCCAAAACGTCCTTAAAGATGGAGGTTCTGTTTTTGTTTTTTGTTTTCTTCAGCTGTAGGGGATGTGGCCAAAGTATTCATACCTCATGTATTTCAGTGTTTGTGTGTGCATGTGTGTGTGTCTGTGTGTAGGGCAGAGATGCTATCATTCTCTTATACTAGCAGAATAAGAGAACTGAGGGAAATGTGCTTCCTGGCTGGGGTCCTCACAGTCCAGACTGTTATCTGTAAAAACAAATCAGCAGAAGTCAGCGGTCACACTCGCTGACAGTGTTGGATCAGTAATGGCAGGTTTGCCACAGTCAGGAGATACTTACACTTGTCTGGGGGAGTGAGTGTGATGGTCTGCGCTGTGAACTCCTCATCAAAGTACCGGGTGTCTGTCTCTGATGTCACTTGTGGTCTGAAGAGTGGAGTCAGCTGAGATAGGAAGTGGAAAATATTGATAAAGTGGCCATTCTGTTACAAACATGCTGGATGTAGAAAGTGTCTACATGTAGACCAGAGTCTGAGATGCAATGGCATTGTTCATATCTCTACTAGAGGGTAGATCAGGGGTCTGCAAACTGTTTGAAATTTGCATTTCAGGGTTTTCCAGGTGTCACAGAAAACCCACATTTCAAAAAACATGCAGGTTTGGCATATTGACCAGGGTTGTCTGGAGGAGTCTTTATAAAAACCTGCAGCATCAGTAAGCAGCAGGATAAATATGAACGTTTCCAAAGAGAGTGCGATATCCACTTGTACATGACACAAAAACACAGTAACTTCATTTACTACGTAGAATTATAAAACATCTTTGGGCTGCACGGTGGCTCGGTGGTGAGCACCGTCACCTCACAGCTAGAAGACAGGTGAGCTGTCTCACTGGAGGTCACGGTTTATCTGCTGCAGGAAAATGATCAGCTGAGTCAGGAGCTCAGCTTAGCTTAACATTATTTCACTATTAAAATCTGACCTATTTACAAAAGTCGACATTTTTTCTGTCATATTCATTTTTTTAGTAGACAGTTTTTTTTGTTTCACAGCAGGATACTTGCAGCAGTGACATTATTGTGTGTATGAACACATTAGAAAATGTGACCTCTCTGATCAATAAATTAATTACCAACATATCGCAACAAGTCGTCGAATACAAACAAAAAGATATTTTTAATTTACCATACGTGACTGTATTTTGATAAATAATCACATAGATGTGTCTCAGGATGTGTTTTTACTGTATGCATATTTCTAAGAATGTCCCAGGCTTATGATGCCTATAGGTGAACTTTTTCCTTCACAAAAAAACAAAACAAAAACCCTACATCTCTCTTTTAAACAGCGCCCAAATAGCAAAAAACGTTAACTGTACTAGTATTAGTCTATGTACATCAGATAATTAGTAACATTCACTGTAAAATAAGAAACTAAAGTATATCAGCATGAAACGTCTTAACTCTCATACTGACACAGTTTTTAACCAGCCTATATGCAACAACAGCATAATAGATAATAACTTTGTTTTTTAATGTGCCACCCCAAGAAGTTCAGTGGTGACATCTTGCCACCCCTCTGAAAACAGCCTCCAGCCAGCCTCCCCCACAAAAGTTTCAAAGGGCATATCTGTATAAATATGATTATACTGATATGTTTTCATTAAACTTTAGTATGACTAAGAGGCTGAGGAGGTTCAATATTTTTTACTGTAACTGTATAAAGAGATCTAACCAGTGTTTTGTTGGTATGTCCAAAGACAAAAAGGCTAATGAACGCTAATCAAAGTTTCTGGAATTACAGATCCAAGCAGTCAGTCAGGCCTTCTCGTTTCTGTAACTGTAGTCAAACCTCAATTTCTCATCTAAAGTCTCAGAATGTCTTACCTTCTTCTGTTCTACATCCTGCCAGTTGATGGCGATGAAAAATTTGTGACTCATTACTTCTTTGGCATCATTGGGACCTCCACCTAACCTGTCAGTGCAAGCAAGATCATGTGAGAATTAAGTGGTTAAGCATTAAAAAACAAACAATTCACACACAGTCACATCAGTCAGGTCAAACACCTCTGTTTAGGGTCTTTCTTGAGCAGACCAGCCAGCAGGGACTTGGCCTCAGGTGACAGGTTCCTGGGGAAACGGATCTCCTCCATGAGGATGAGCTCAAACAACCGCTCGTGGTCCTGGTTGTAGAAAGGCAGACGGCCGCACATCATCTCATACATAACTACACCCAGACCCCACCAGTCCACTGCACGGCCGTAGTCATTATCTTCTAGGACCTGAGGAAGAAAACACATTTAGATTTTTTTAACACAGGCTGTCGAAAGTGACTAAGTTTGCAGTTCTGAGCATTTATATTTCATCTACATGGCTTAATGTTACACTTCTTCTACGCAAATCTTAATTCCTCTTTTCAGCTTTGAACGAGACCTGCCTACAGCCTTTGCACCAGTCATCATGTTCACCATGTTTGTAGAGAGCAGAATAAAATTCAAGTGTGTCATAATTATAAGAATGACATCATTTTGATAAAGGGGAGAACTTTTGTGTACAATGTGTACCTCATCACAAAACAGATAAATGTTTGTGGAGCAGAACAGTAAGCAACCAAGACAAGCTGACCAATGACATATAAAACTTTAACCAGCTTTTGTGAGGCAAGAAGTCAGACTGAGACAATATGACCTTGATGTCAAGTGTGTTTTGCTTCAGAAAGTAGCCGTGACAAAATGTGTACACTGGGGTCATGAAGGGATCAACAGTCTCAGCAATAATACTCAGGTCGGCTGTGGTGCTTAAATGACTTTCAGTTGGTACCAAGGAGCCTAAAGTGTCCATCCATCCATTATCTATACACCGTTGAATCCTCACTAGGGTCATGGGGGGCTGGAGTCTGTCCCAGCTGACTCAGGGTGAAGGCAGGGGACACCCTGGACAGGTCACCAGTCTATCACAGGGCTACACTTAGAGACAGACAACCAAGCACACTCACATTCACACCTACGGACAAATTAGAATCATCAATTAACCTCAACATGTTTTTGGACTGTGTGGGAGTAAGCTGGAGAACCTGGAGAGAACCCACGCTGCACAGAGAGAACATGCAAACTCCACACAGAAAGATCTCGGGTGTCCTCACCAGGACGTGAACCAGCGGCCTTCTAGCTGCAAGGCAACGGTGCTAACCACCGAGCCACATTGCAGCCTAGGGCCTAAACAGTGTCAAAAAAAATCCCCCAAAGCATTACACTGGGAAACAACAGCTGGCTCCAGATTACATGATTATTTCTGAGGTGTCCAAATTTGGGGCTGCACATGCACAGCCTGCGTGGATTCTCGCAGACTTGGGTGGATGACGAAATTTATGCCACCTTATAGATGCAAACACTACACTAACTAGCCTTCAGGATGTGGTGGAGACTTTAAACATGCAGGACAATGTGACTGTGTTAAACATGTGCCTTACCTCAGGTGCCAGATATTCCGGAGTTCCACAGAAGGTTTTCATAGTTGCGTCTGGAGTAATGCCTTCTTTACAAAGGCCAAAATCAGTGATTTTGATATGTCCATCTTTGTCCAGCATCAGATTCTCTAGCTGTGACAGAGAGAAATAACATACACATCAGATCTCAGTCTAATGATTCATTACACTCATATAATTATAATAATTCTCAAGGACAGGAGTAAAGATAAAAGATATGACTACAAATTTCTGAAGAAAGTTTAACTACGATAGATCTGCTCACTAAGCTATGTTACTGGCTATGGATTCATTTTGAAAGTGAATCCAAACATATAGACGGTTTGCCCATCAATGTTTGTGAGTGACAAAGAAGTACTGTTTGGTAAGCTTCTTTGAACATCAGGGAGATTTGGTTTTGACAGTCTAGCACAAGGGTTTAGATTGCTAGCCTAGAGATGGTTGAAGTGGATTTCGATAAAGGTAATGCAGAGGAGAGTAGAAAGCTGCAAAAATGAGCAGCCAGTGACTCAAACCTACATCCTAAAAAGATGACCCACCTTACATTCTCTCTATAAGACATATAATAGAGTGTTTATTTTAGAACTGCTGGATATGATGTTAACTCACCTTAAGATCACGGTAAACAACATCACGTGAATGGAGGTACTCGAGTGCTGAAACAATCTCTGCGCCATAGAAGCGAGCCCGGTCTTCTGTGAACACTCGTTCTCGTGACAGATGAAAGAAGAGCTGAAAGAAGTGTGGGCAGGTTAGGTTCAAACACTTACCAACCATTAATAAAGATCTGAGTGTGCATGGCATGCTGTCGTCACCAAGTGACATTAGTGTAGCTCCATGTGACAGAGGTAGGAGCGTGTCAGGACTCACCTCGCCTCCATTGGCATATTCCATTACAAAACAGAGCCGGTCATGGGTTTGGAAGGCATATTTCAGTGTCTGCAAGGAAATATAACATTAGGAAATAAGAAAAACACTAAAAAATAAAACATCAAGACATATCCAGGTCGTGAATCTCCGCAGTACTACAATGCAACTCATTACTATCGAATGAAAACTGATAAAATCAATTTAATCAGAAGAGGTTTGTGATCAGAGGAGCTGCTAATCTTAAAAAAAACAATCATTTCATTTAGCTTTTAGTTTAGCGAGTGTAACATAAATGTCATTCAGTGGATTCACTATCACTGCCATCCCTCGAGGGACTGTATGCTGCCAGTATGGCCATTAGACAGTGTGCTTTAACAATACACATTCATGAAATTACTGCCAGGTGGCAAAAGGGGCTCAACCCTGAGAGCTTTCACAATGACCTGAGGACCATTTGGCCCATAAAAACAATTTCAATAAGAGTTAGTTGCTCTGTCTGTGCTGCATTTACCAGAAGGTCTTCTGTGGACTTCTACTATCTATTAAGTGGAGATTTTTTTTTGTTTTCTTACCGTGAGGAAAGGATGTTTTGTGTTCTGTAACACTCTGCTCTCTGTAACTGTGTGGGCCACCTCATCCTGCCAAGAAACACATTAATGTCAGAAACACAAACAAAATATATCATACTAAATATAAATAAGAGCAACAACTGGTATGAAAATCTGGTCTGAAATTATCTTTGTTTCAATGAGTCCAGCAAAGGGTCTAAATGTTGTCTAAATGTGTAAATAACACGCACACTCAAATATAGCACGGCAGAGCTACAATGCAAGGTGATCACGTGCCATCAGGAGCAACGCTGGGTTCAGTGTTTTGCCCACGTATACTTTAGCACGTGGACGATCAGGGCATGTCTTGCCTAGACTGCGTGGCAGCAGACAAAATTTATTGCATGAATTTACTGAAAGAGTAGTTTGTAAAATTGTAGGGTCTATAACTTTCTGTTGCCAGCAGATGACGCTATGACAACGATCCAATAATGGTGTGTACATTATTGGTTACGTGGCTGACTAAGCGTGAATAGTGAAATGGAGATCATTTGAGGTCAGTGAATGTGTCTCAAGTGACGGTAGTATAAAGACTCCTGTATCTGGAAGGTCTAGTCACTGGTGAATCAGTATTGCTGGATAGAACTACACCATGAAGACATAAGAACACTGCACTCAACTCTGTGTAAGGTTATGGAAAAGTATTAGTCAGTCAAGAACAGTTTTAACTTATGGAGTATCTCTTATAATACAGTAAAATTCATAATTAATCAATTGAGGTAACATGGCACGAGTACATGGGGCAGGCCATCCCAAAATGAGTGACTGTGCAAGAAAGAGACTAGTGAGGGAGGTCACCGAGACACCTACGACTCCTCTGAAGAAGTTACAAGAAGGACACTAGTGATGGAGGCTTGGTATCCAGGCAACAATATGGAGTCACATGATGATTATGAGTTCAACTACGTCTGTAGGTAGACTTGTGACTCAGAATGTGGATCCAAATGAAATGATTTGCCTGATGAATGAAATGAATGACGTCTACTACCGAAACGTTGCATCAATACATTCATGAGTGTGCGGGAGTCAAATAGCCCACAGCAGCAGCAAAGCGGCAGAATGATACGAGTGACGACTGGAGACTAAATTAAGTGCGTTTGCAGGCACCTCTTACTTACCTTGGCTATTATGACCATTTTGCGCAGTATTTTCATTGCATAATGTACTCCAGTGGACTTCTCTTTGACCAGAATCACCTTCCCAAAGGTGCCCTTGCCAAGCAGCTTCAGGTACTCAAAGTCACTCATCGTCTATAAAACACACAAGGAGAGGGATCTTAATACTATAACAATTGGTACAAAAACATTAAAAACATGCATCTCAGAAAAAATATAAATCTTCAGAGAGCCTTGAGATACACGATGCTTCCTGTTATTGGTGCTTTTTTTGTGAAATTCAAATGTTTTTTGATCTTAAGGTTCAGTCAAGACGTCACTGCATGCATCCACAAAAAGGTATTGTAGAAGAAGAATAACTTCTACTAACAGATTTGTTTTTATGTGCAATTTATAAGCTTTAAAAGAACCGTGTCACATTCATCAGTTCCCTCCTGTTTAGAATGTTTTCTTTAGCATGACTCAAGTTTACAAGTGGTCCAGACCTGCTGTAGGAGTCATGCACAGATAGAAGCCCCTCCCCACGGTGGAAAAACACTTCAGAAATCAAATTTGTTCATTTGGTAGCTGAGGGGGCAGTTACTTTTTTACATAGAGCAGGTGGGTCTGGACAGTATTTTTCCTTTAATACATAAAATCATCATTTAAAAACTGTTATCTTTGTCTTGTATTGATATTAGGTTGATGATTTGAAATATTTAAGTGTGACAAATATGCAAAAATAGATGATATCTGTAGGAGGGCAAATACTTTTTTTCACAGTCCTGTACTCTCTCATCTGTCTCTGTATGTTCACATCCCTTCAAAATGTCCAATTTAAGTTCTGGATAATACCCAAAAATGTCTCACTATTACAAACTGTCCCTTCGTCTGTCATGGTATGCCGCGGCAATGACAGATCTGATATAAGTAGCAATGCTTACGTATTTTTTGGGTTCAATGAAACCACTACGGAAACTGATAAATACAGTCCTTAATGTAAGTGAGCACACCGCTGGGCAGCATCACTTAAAAGTCAAATTCATTAAAACTGCATCACTTCCTAATGACTGCATAAGTATATTTGTTCTTCTCATAAACAATTAAACATAAATACTTTAGGAAAAATGTTTTAAATACAGGCCTAAAGTAGAAACTACATGCAACATGAGTGAATACACCTGTGATCACCAACCAGTGAACCTCCTCAGTCAGACCCTTCAGGTGAAATTTTGTTGCAAATTCCAATGACAATAAAAATATCATATTCTACTCAGATCCGCAGTGTAAATGTAAAATGATACACACCATGAATGCTTGTGGAAATGCCAAAGTACTTGCTGACAAGGTGACTTGTTTTTAAGTATAAAGGGCAAATGGCATCAATTATAGAACTAGTACTCCTCTCACCACTTTGTTGCGGCTCTTAGACATAGCCACTTCCATTTCCTCTAAGCTACTTTCGCTTGGTGAGCCGAACACATCCATCGGTTCCTCCTCCTCCTGTTCCCGCATCTTCAGACTATTTGCCACAGACTGGATAGCCCGCATCCACTCCTCTCTAAGAAGCCAAAATACCAGAAGTTGTCAGATGTCACATCAATTAGGCTTGAAAAAATATGGCAAGTGTTGGGAAGTCAGGATGTTATCTAAATTGAAATGCATATTAAAAATATTAGCTTGCCTGATCTGATATTTCACCCTGTTCTTACCTCTCCTCATTACTTTCCACATGAAAAGTACGTTCAATGACTGTGGTCCACTGCAGGCAGCGTATGACAAATGTATTGGGCCGGGGTCTTTCAGTCTTCATTAACTGGCATTCTATAAAAAACACAATTAAGATTCATGTTAACAGGAAGCTGATTAGATTTAAACAATCGGGGCAGACATGTATAGAACTCCTAACACCCAACGGATAGCTTTGGAAAGAAGAAAGCTCTCTCTGTCAAGGAACGGCCATTGTTCAATGTTCTGTTTTACCACCTTAAAGACTGACCTGCCACTGAGAAGTTGTTGAGTGGCGGGGAAGTCTGGTCATTTAGATCTGGCTTCTCTTTGTAGCCGATGAAAGAACCGTCACTCTTCAAGATGAAATACCTGGGCCTCCATGTTTTGATGTATTCACCTGAATCAGAAAAGGAGATGCAATTTTAAGCAAAAATCTTCAGCTCAATCTAACTGACACGTAGCATTAATCCAATTATGGTTTTCTAGGGTCTTACCACGACACCGATAACAAGCCTTTACTTCTTACTGTAAACTTTCAGCATAAAAAACAAACATGATTCTCATGCTCCTTACCTCTTTTTTGGAGCCAGCCCTCTCTGATAATATTAACTTCATTCATGATGGCGGACACGTTTCAGAGGGGGTCAGGAACAGGAAGTCAGGGAGGGGAACAGTGGATTTCTCTCTTTGGCCAGTTCAAGTCTCAGACAGTCATAGAATCTGAACAGCACCTGCTAAACAAAACAAGCAGTACAAAGAAATATGAGGTAACGTCAATTACTCTAAAAACAGAAACACACTAACAGAGTAAAAGGTAGTTCAGTAGACAGTCAGTACATATATATGTATACACGGTGGAAAGGTGGCTAGCACTGTCATCTCACAGTTAGAAGGTCCTGGGATGCTTCATTTCCAGCCTGGAGTCTTTCTAAATCGTCCATAGGTGTGAATGTGAGTGTGTCCTACGTTCACTAACAATTACCCTGTGAATATTTCTTGATTAATCAATGAAATTGTTTATTAGTATATCCATCCATTATCCATACACCACTTAATCCTCACGAGGGTCACAGGGGGCTGGAGTCTATCCCAAGTGACACCCTGGACAGGTCACCAGTCTATCACAGGGCTACACTTAGAGACAGACAACCAAGCACAGTCACATTCATACCTACAGACAATTTAGAATCACCAATTAACCTCAACATGTTTCTGGACTGTGTGGGAGGAAGCCAGAGAACCCAGAAAGAACCCACGCTGCACAGGGAGAACATGTAAACTCCACGCAGAAAGATCCCGGGTGTCCTCACCGGGACGCGAAGCGGCAACCATATGCAATATTAAAATATAGAATATATATATAAAACAAAAATTTGTATCACTATGACTTCTTTCGATACCGCGCCCTCTAAAAGTAAGTTGATGATAGAGTGAAATACGTGTTTTTGCTTTGGCAGGAGATCAAAACATATCAGTGTGACAACAGCAGTAGTATTTTACATCACTGATATGTAAACAGAGTATAAGCACATATAAAACTCTTTCTGCTAATTTAACAAAAATCAAAATCTGAAATTTCTAAGACCCTTGATGCAATACACTGCTAATGCCCCTTTGGCAGCAGTTACAGCTTTCTTGAGTAAATCTCCACATTGTGTACAGCAGTGTTGCAAGCAGATGGCTAGAGCTGATATGAACTGTCGTCTTCAGGTCCATCCACAGCGTGGGCTTTGGCTGTGTCATCCAAGAACAGTCAGGGACTCATCCTAAGGCCAGTCCAGGGTTGTCTTGGCAGTATCATTTGGTTCACTGTTGTACATCTCCCCAGTCTCAGGTTGCTGCACTATGGAGCTGGTTTGGTTCAAGAACCCCACCACATCAGGCAGCATTCATTCTGCCTTCACTTCTGTACAGTCTGCCCGTCCCTGCTGCTGAGAAACACCTCGACAGCATGATGGCACCAGCACCATGTTTCAGTGTAGGAACGGTATCAGCCTGGTGCCGGACATGTTGCTCGGACCCTAATAGCTCCATTGTCTCATCATACCAGAGAATCTTTTTTCTTTTTCTTCTGTCTTCTTATCGTCCATCTCTGCATAGAACTTTCAAAGTTCTGTTGGAGTGACCATTGGGTTCTTAGTTGTATCCCTGACCGTGGCCCTTCCTGCTCAGTAAAGCTGGACAGCCAACTCTATGAAGAGTCCTTATGGTTCCAAACTTTTGCCATTTCACAGTGACTAGAGCCGCGGGAGATATTTTTACAAATAATATCCGTTTTTGATTTTTCAGTAATATACAAAAATGTCTACAAACATGCTTTCATTTTGGATGTATGTAGAAAAAATAAAGTATAGCCCAGTCTCTACATTCCTGTCATTGCTGTCCTTTGATCTGAAACTCAAAAGTCTAAAGCAGCACTAGCATTAGCTTCTCTGTATACATTGGTTTGGAAGCCACTCCGTCCTGTTTTGTCCAGGGAGCAGTGAAAAGATTTAAAAATCAAATCAAAATCAAATTTTCACATTCAAGCAATGGGAATCCAATCATATTTGGCATTCTTGCTTGATAAAACTACTAAGGTAATAACAGTACGGTATTATTTGCCATAACAAGTTTCTAAAATGTCTTGTGTCATCCAGTTAACAAATACTATTAATGTGAAGGCCAGATGACGAGGTGCTAACTTGAAACATATGTGCAGCAGAAATACAAACCATTATTTTTGGGAAGATAATGGTTAATAATTATTAATAGCAACAAGAGGTGTTCACAAAAGTCTACAATTTAGATACTACCTGCCTCACAAGTGTCTAGCTTTGTGGACAAAGAATCCTAAGACTGTACTCATAACTTTAAAGTAAAGATCTGGTCATAGCAACTCACAGAAAGACTTTAAGATTTAGCGTCAACTCATGTACCGTCCTTCACTAAAACACCCCGTGAAGCTGGGACATTACCTCGACACGTTAATCAGCTGTTTGGAGAGGAGGGCAGGATTTAAAAGTATTTCTGCACAACATTCGTGTATTTCTGAGAAGCGAACGTGAGCTTCGACCACCGAACACAGGAGCACTGGGGCATAAGTGCTAAATTTACAACAAACGATAATGCCAAACTTTTAAAATGGATGCACAACGTGAAATATATATATTATATATTTCTCAAGTCAGCTACGAATTAAGAAAACCTAAAATTAGTGGGAAATTGTGTTCAATATTCGAAGTTGCCAACCAAATCAACTTAAAGCTAATGTAGTTGTTGTTAGCCGTTAGCTTGGCTGCCATTTGACGTCAGTTAGCTAGCACTGCTGACAGCAGTTAGCTTCTATGCTATTAGACAAGCAAACTTTTAATTAACCACTTACGGGGAGACTAAGTTAGGAGATGTAAAACTAGTTGATAACATAACCAACCTCCGGGAGTGAATCTATATTTAGAATCACCAATTCACCAATTACAGAAGTTTCCGTATCGTTACATGGCATCTTGGTTAAATTAGAAATAACTTTGCTAAATAACACCTAATATCACACATCCAGTCAAGTGTTTAACAGCCAGGAGGACACATTTATGTCTTCCATTCGTGACTTTTAGATGAGTTTACCACTTTACCGTAATACGAATATGCAATGCTTATCTTACGACAAACTGCAAATGTTTGTTTATTAGTAAACAGTGTCTTACATTAGCGATCATATGGTGTCTTGTAGGTTACTGGTGTAGGCTTGGTAATAGCGAGGCAGTTAAAGAACTATTCTTACTAGTTATGAGCTACAGGCTCCTAAACTCATCTCGTAATCCCATATCTCCAACATTCAATTAGAGAACAACACGACTTAACGCACATTTCACTGACTTTATCCCACGTTCCTCTTGTCACAATGCAGCTTTGACAGGCTAAATCCAGAGCAGGCCATCCGCCCAGGAAAACGCCATCAGCTCCTCTTCTTCTTCTGATTGGTTGGGCGGCTGGCATCCAACATGTAGGTGCATTACCGCCACCTGGCGGACTGGAGTGTGGAGCAAGATTGGCAATAAATAAATGAATAAATGAATGAATACATGAATGAATGAATGAATGAATGAGTGAATGGATGAATGAATGAATGAATGAATGAATGAATGCTCCTTATTAGAAGTCCCGTGTTTTTTAAGAAACTCAATTAACTCTCTTATCATGTCTTTTCCTGTTCCCCCAATTAGGTTCTGCACTGTTAGCTCTACCTTGATTTTTTGCAACTTGGCTTTGAGTTTTTCTTTTCATCTTCATATTGGGGCTGCAAGGTGGATCGGCGGTTAGCACAGTTGCCTCACAGCAAGAAGGTTGCTGGTTCGCGTCCCGGTGAGGATCTTTCTGAGTGGAGTTTGTATGTTCTCCTCATGCAGCGTGGGTTCTCTCTGGGTTCTCTAGCTTCCACAAGTCCAAAAACATGTCGAGGTTATTTGGTGATTCTAAATTGTCCGTAGGTGTGAATGTGAGTGTGCTTGGTCTCTAAGTGTAGCCCTGTGATAGACTAGTGACCTGTCCAGGTGAACCTGCCTTCACCCTGAGTCAGCTGGGATAGACTCCAGCCCCCCATGACCATGGTGAGGATTCAATGGTGATCAAAGCAAAGATGCTTCAGAGCAAAAGGTCTTATCTACAAAAGTAAAGTAGTTGCTCCAGCACCGCTCATTGAGGTGTGCGTGCGTGTTTGTATGTAATTAAAAGCCTCCCGTCCACCAACTAACCTGCCTAATTTGACTGCAGCCTTGCACTTCACCAGGAGAGGTCACTGTCACTGAAGCTACGAGTCATGAACCCATTTTCGAAACAATTGACTCAAATGGTTCAGTGCTTTACAAAAGCTTCATTTATCCATCAACACTGACACCCATACTGATACATGTCACAATAGTTGTGCCATCAGAGTATTTCTCAATGTGGCCAGACTCAGATCTGTACTTAAACCCAACTTCATAGAGTAAACACAAATGGAGCCTTTGATAAGCCCCAGTGGTGCTCACCATCATCCCAGAGGCACAGTTCTCCAGCCTTTCAAACTGTCGTCATCCTGTAAAATAGTTTGAAATCCAGTAAGTTAAGCAGGGTTCAACCTACGTCTCTCCGAGCTTGTTAAGGGGTTGAATGATGTTAAATGTGCTCAAGAAGTTGAAGAGCACAATCCTCACATATCCACCTTGTTTATCCAAGTAAGAATAGGGCCATTGGAGCATGTAGAGGACCACATCGTCCACACAACATTTCTCTGGTACTGCAGAGGGTCAGGTGCATGTGCAACTTGTGGTCTCAGAGGACAGAGAAGAAGCAGTCGCTCTGGTGTGCTCATAATGTGTGTGGCTACTGGTCTGTAGTCCTTTATGTTGACTTTTGGCACTGGTTCAAGACATGAAGTCCATTTGTAAACATGAAAGCAGCTCAGCCAGTCCTTCAGCAGCCTTGAACGTCCACCACCCAGTTACCTGTATATATTTATTTCTCTTTACCAGTATTGTGCTCCCTACTAACGCTGTACTGTGTTTATGAGACACCTAATTTATTATATTTTTTAAAAACCAACAAAGAACGAAGCCATGATATAAAAGATGGGTTTTATTCAAGGAATCTTCTTACATCACGTTTGCACAAGAACAAAAATTTAAAAAAAGTTGTGCTTTAAATCATGGGGAGGGTGGAAGCAAACTGAGCTTTTCCATTTAAATAACTTGAACTATCCTGTAGGGAGGCAGAGCCTTCAGTTATCAGCTCCTCTGTTGTGGAATCAGCTCCCAGTTTGGGTTCTAGAGGGAGACACCCTCTCTACTTTTAAGGTTCGACTTAAAACTTCCCTCTTTGATAAAGCTGATAGCTAGGGGTGCTCAGGATCACCTGAACTGTCCCTTAGTTATGCTGCTATAGCTTTGGACTGCCGGGGGATTCCCATGATGCACTGGGCCTCTCCTCTACTCTCCTCTCTCTTCTTCTATACAGTTATGCATCCTCATTACAAATCACTAACTCTGTGTCTTTCCTGCAGTTCAGTGTTTGTTCTCTCTGCAGCTTTCTGTTCATTCCCTTTAAATGGGTTTTTCTTTCGGTTCCTTCCCAGTGTCACTAACTGCTTGCTAAAAGAGAACCCAAACAGAATTCTGGATTGTTGCAATCTCTGTTCTAAATTCGTAAAGTCTTCACCTTACTATTTAAGTGCTCTGAGATGACATGTGTTGTGAAATGATATATGAAAAGATTGAATTGAAAAGAGGATTTGAGGGCATTTCTGCTCTACTTTTAAGAATTTATGTTGGCATATGGTGATTATTGAAACCTGTGCATCCTTTTAGCTACACAAATAAAACACACCAGCTGTTTAATTCTACACAGACAATGGCTGTGATTATATGCACACTAGCATCCCAGTTATGAGGCTTATCCAGACTTTGACGATATTCAAGATATGGCATTTCCACAAAGCACAAAGAGATCTGGTTATTCATGTCTTCTTTTACATGCTAGTATCCTGAATTTCCCTGGCGAGCGATCAATAAAATTGGTCTTATCTTATCCAGTGTACTGAATTACTGTTTAAAACACAAGCTGTGAATTTCATCTGACATTCCTGTAGCTGTTAGTGTAGGAGTCATTTATGTTTGTTGTCTTCAGGTAATTTAATATGGATTGTTTGACACTTGGTGGTGGTAAATGGACACAGGGTGTATATGTAGAGGGCACAGGTGACAGGAAGAGGAGGGCAGAGGTAGGGGGAGAGCCAACAGTTCTCACCAGACCAGCATCAGACCAGCACAGATCCCAAATTCATCATAGGAAAACCGTTGTATTTTCATCTCTTGCATACCATTAAATAAACATCCACTAACAGCAAGTATACTGACTGGAGATTCTGTTTTTGGTCTGCGTCGCTTCACTCTGCTCCACCTGTGCAGCAACAGCAATTAAAGGACATTGAAAAATTGGCATCACAATTATCCTTCTCTTAAGTTACTTTAATTGTGGCCATTGAAAATGAGGTCACTTGGGTTTACAGCAGGCGTAGCACTTCTAAATGTCAACCTTGTGTTGTGGATTTGACTTATCCACCTTCAATTTCCAATTTCAATTTTATATAGATATAGCACAAATTCACAGCATGTCATCTTATAGCACTTAACATAGTAAAGTATAGACCTTACACATTTTGAACAGAGAACCCAACAATCCAAAGTATTCCTCCTCTTGATTATTGACAGCTATTACAAACAACAGGAAATAATAAACATTAAATACTTTCAGCCTGTCACTGTCTTTGCCGCCTCATAAGACAAAGGAATAGTGGATGAAGATACACAGCTGTGACTTCTGGTACAGGGTTCTCATGTTTCTTGCAGAATACTCCAGCTAGCATAATTCAAAACAAGGGATAAAAACTTATTCAGATCTCTGAAACGGAGATGTGATGTTTACGTGCACAAACAGAAAAATGGAATACTTGAGAAACCGGATCATCAACAGGATACAGGAAAATAAGACACAATGAAAAAAAAGACTACACTCACACTAGATATTTAGACTTTGTAAAAATAACTGAATTTCTATTGGGTCAAAGAATGTAAATTGCCTGAGCAGTGGATGATAAGCCATTCGCACCTATTCATTGTTCCCTGAAGCCATTTTTCAGCTTATCAAGAACCATCATCTGTGGTCTGTGCACCTTGTAGCGCCTGGACCAGTGCTAGAAGAGAAAAACAGAGCAATATACAGGTATAATAAACATGTTAGTATGAATAGTTTAAACACACATTATCTATAGACAAGTGGCAATATTAAGGAAAGAAAGTGACATAAAGTGTCTTCGTAAGGTTTTGGGCTACCACGTTATAGCAGAACAACTCTTTGGCATTGATTCCCCAAGTCTTTGGAATCTTTTTTTTAATTATTTTTTTAGTTTAACCTTTATTTTACCAAGTAAGTTAATTGAGAACTGGTTCTCTTTTTCAATAACGACCTCGTCAAGCGGCGGCATACAAACAAGATGAACAGCAAAATCAGATTACATGTACAGCAACTCACACAATATTACAAACAAATTATGCAAAGACTTGTAAAATAGGGAGGCATCTACTGGAAGGATGGAGCACCATTCTTCCAGAAGCTATTCCCTCATTTAGTGTTTTGACAGTGGAGCGACAGTGGAGCGACAGTGGAGCGACAGTGGACCACATAGGTCCAAAATCTAGTATAGGTGTTCAGTTAGGATGGAATCTGGTCACTGTGAAAGCCATAGCAAATTAATCCACAAAGAGACCACACCTATCCGTATAGAAATGTGTCATCATTGGATTTTGAATGAATGGGTGGATAAAAAATACATTGTAAAGCACTTTGAGTACCACTAAGGTACAAAGGCGCAGTATAAATGCAGACCATTTTACCATTTATCGGAAAAAGGCGATTGTGCAAGTAAAGGCTACCTACTGCAAAACAGATCCAATCATTCCCTTACTGTAGGGTTCAAGAGTTTAGATTTTTCCTTTTATTTTGTTCCCCGTCTGTAGTATCGTAGTTTGACCTAATGACAATGGGTGAACTTACCTGTAATAATCTCTTCCTTCACTTTGTGGAGCTCTTTTTTCACTTCCTCAAGAATTTCCTTTAAACAGACACATGCAGTGCATGAGGCTTTGGTGTTCAAAGGTTTTACTTGACAAAAAAAAGTAAATCGGTGTTTCAGCAAATGTCTTAAACCTCAAATAGTGACATTCTGGGCACAAAGTTATGGCTTTGCAACTGCAATCTGTTATACTTAAGAAGAAATTTCTCTCTGGCGCCTGCAGGTCAGAGTTTATTGGGAAACACATGCACGACCCAAAAGAACCACAGAGTTTGTAGCATCTCTGCTCATTATCAGCAAAAGTTGTGACGTTAACCATGATAAAGTTATGATGGACAGCTTTATCGTTTACTGACAAGTTGCAGGACACTATTATACGTTCAAATAAAGATGAAGGAACCAACCTGCTTGACTCGTTCCATATCAGGATGACTTCCTGCATCATCAGAGGTCTTTTTCATCATTTTCAACCTACGATGGACAGATCCATGTTTGCCATTAGCTAAAACAGAATGATATATCAAGGAGATATTTTCTAAGAGACAGCAAGCTAGGCAGCATGCTTTACTTCAGACAGAGACACCAAAAGAAGTTATAGGCAGTCTTAGAATGATAAGACAAAGAGGGAAATAGAGCTGGAGGGAACAGTCAGAGACATTAAATGTATTTAGTGTTTAGAATAGACTGTTGTCCATCGTCCAAATGACTGCTTATGTTTAAGTAAGAGCAACCTCTTCCTCAGGTCTTTACAGGGATACTTGAGAGATGTTCATGCAGTGAGCAAAGCACTCCAAAAGCACTGTCACAGCGACATGTTGCTGCAAAGCAGACAACTGAAATTGGCTTAGAAACAGTTTCAGTCTGGAGCTATAAACATAACCTCAGAGAGATACCATCAAAGGCTTAGTGCTTCATTAGATGCAGTGAGTCACATGTAAGCAGAACATCACTGATGAGAACAGCAGCAACATCAGAGCTCTGAGAAGCAGCATGTTGGGAAAAGACCTGGATCACAGGTGGGGACTGGTACCTGGACCCTGGAGTAGTGGGAGAGTTAGAAGCAGTGGTTGTGGAGCTGGGACGTGGGCTGACATCCCCTTGACTGGTGGTTAAAGATTTGGGCCTGTTGCAAAAAAATACACAGATGCTTTAAGTGTTTTGTGGAATAACTATGGATGGCTCTGAGGAGGTATTAAGCATATTGTAATGGTGAGTCACAGATCAGTCTCTTACCTTGGAATGGTAGCCGATTTTTCCTTGAACGGATTTATTTCTGGTGAAAAATGACCATATATATTTTCACAATACATTAGGATAAATTAAAATTAAATGTATTTCTAGTTTCTGTCTCTTTCACCTCAATGTGTATTTAAAGTCTTTCTACCATAGTTATATGTGGTGTATAGAAAAAGGACATATTTATGTATTATAGTCATGTAAGAGAGATTACTCACCACCTGGTCCTGAGGATTTAGATTTTGAGGAGTCATTTTCCTCCTGTAGTTATAAACGGATATATCACTGTATCTTACTGCTCATTTTACAGATACGTACTACAGAATAATGAGAGAAAATCTAGCAAATGAAGTAAAGTCCAGTGAAGCTGAACTCACTGACAGGACACTTACATTGTCGTTCTTTGTTTCAGGCGGCTTATCGGCAGCTTTTCTCCTATTTGAATAGGTGTAGCACAATACAGACGTTCACAAAAGCTTTAATATCATCACATCATCTGCAATTTTTACTGTATGTCTCCTGAGTAGTAACTTGCCTCCTTGCTAGAATGGCACTCATTTCTCCCATTAGGTTGCCTCCTCCACCGCCTGACGATGCCGGTTTGGGGGCTGGGGCTGCTGCTGCTCCCTCATCCTGCATACACAAAAGCACCTCCAGTCACCATGTTGAAGGGCTGCACTATATTCAGTACATATTCGGAGCATGGATCCTCTTTAAATAGTCTAATGGGAGTGTGTATCACGGTGATTGTGTTGGTGCACTATACAAAGGAGAGACTACACACCATGTATTCACTTACCTTTGCTGTTTTACGCAGTTTGGCTCCTGCCAGAGCTGCAGCCAGATCATTTCCACCTCCACCTCCACCTCCACCTCCACTTCCTCCTGCCGGGGGTGGGGGTGGTGCAGGTGGGACCATGCCTCCAGAGGGAGGTGGTGGAGGTGCAGGTGGGCATGGACCAGAGGAACTTGGGGGAGGGCAAGAGGGTGGGGGAGGTGCTGGTGGGGCTGGTGGGGCAGGTGGAGCGGGTGGTGCAGCCGGAGGAGTGGAAGGGACAGGAGGTGCAGCAGCCGCCTGTCTGGACAGAGAAGGATAGATAACGCAGACTTTAGAAATGCTGCTGTTTGTGTTAAAACTCTGCAGTTTTGGGGATTTTTTTGCAAATGTTGAAAAAGTTCATTTTTGAATTTTTCCCACTACTGAGTTAAATCTGAACACCATCATTGCACACTAGAAGGATTAGACTGATTCATGAAATCATACATGAAGCATACTTAGCCAAAGGTTCTAACTTCTAAAATGTGAGGATTATCTGCCAATCACAGTAAACTGTTTTTTTTTTTTTTAAGAAAATTTGTTCTGCAAACTATTACAAATTGTTAAACATAAAAGCAGAAGACAAAAATCCCCAATGGCATTAAATATTTGCCCTAGTATCATAAAGAATGAACAGTACCTTCTCTGTTGATCCTGTGCAGAGGGATGACTCTGAGCTGGGCCTGAGGATAAACATTATTGTGTATAACTGATGAGTTCTGACACTGCTCTGAATACAGATTATTATAGCTCAGAGACAACAGTGGAGTGTAATAGGAGTCCAGGGAAAATCCAACCTAACCATAGCCTCACAATAATCTTGATGGCACACATTGTATTGGTATTGTGTTTGGAGCGCAGCGGTTCCTGCCCCGGATCAGGATTCTGACTTGCAGAATTGACATTTAACTACGACCCAGTCGACCAAACAGCACTTTTCATGGTGCAAGCGGTCTCCAAGTGTGACGTATGGAAGGCGTTTCAGCTCAGAAGCATGTAAAGACAGAGGATTTGACTTCCAGGACGAGACTGTCATGCAAAGTTCTAATGTAATGTCCTGAGGCATCCGAAACTCTTGCACGGTACTTTGTTGGTGTGGCTTTAGAGCTTTACAGACACACATCTACCTGTTGTAGCTGTCTGCTGCTACTTGGGGGTAGTGTCAGGAAGATATGGAACAACTGAAAGTGGAGGCTACTTTTGTTTATATTTGCACTGATGCTGGAGTTTTGTTGTAGACCCAAACCGCGAAAAAACAGAAGTGATAGTAAAGAGTAGTGGAGGGAAAATTAGTGCAGTGCTTGTAAATGCATGCATTGTTCATGATGCCAAAAGGACCCGCTACCCTTTCAGAGCTACCTGTTCAGTCAGTCAGACATATGCATAGCATCATTGCTGAGGGGTGACCTGCCATTGGCTTGTTGTAGGACTGCATGCCTTTGTGTCATGCCCTCCACCTCCACCTCTGCTTAAAGGCATCCTGCCCTCCTTCTCCCTCTCCTGTCCCTTTCCTCAGTGTGGGCGTGAGTGAGGTGTGTGTTGTATGTGAGCAGGTTCAATTCAATTCAAATAACTTTATTTATCTCCTAGGGGCAATTCAAAAGCTCACTGAGTATTTAATATAAAGACATTAAAAAAATTTACACAATTTATTTATTTGTATTTTTTATTTCATTGGATGATCACCTGATCGTGGACATCTGCGGTGGGGAGTGGCTCACCTGCAAATCATCACCTTCTGACCATAAAGGCTGAGCTCAGACCACCGCCCGACTCCGGACCATTAACCTACTACAGTCAGTCAACCAAGGCCCATATTCTGCTCTTGCTTTTGTTGGTTCTGTCTCATGCTGCGTGTCCACGTGATCTGTACATTTTACGCTTCCCGTTCACCGTGTATGTGAAACGTCCCACATTGTGTTCCGGAGCATTGCAGGGAGTTTCAAGTGATGAGGCACAGTGTCGTCCGCAAGCTTATTTCCATAAAGTAGACTTGACTTCAACTTTATGCAAATTTGGCACAGGGAGCGGAGATCTGATTCCTCACAAAACTAGCCGTTGTTGAAGTAAAATGAGGACAGATTCAACAACTGCACAGCTTATTTCTTGCCTCAGATGGTTTCAGAAATACTTTTCACTGAACTTATGAAACCGAAAGTTTGCGATCGAACCTCCATGTTGGTTCGACGCCTCAAAGGTAAAGCATCTGTCGTATGACTGCCTAGTGGCCTCGAGTGCACACGTATCAAGCAGGCGATGTTCAGAAGTGTTACCACACGTGTAGTTGTGCTTTTGAGCGTCTATCTGAACTAAAATATCACCTCTAGTCTGTCTAGTTTGTTGTAGCATTTTGTACTATCCCAAGTTCTGTAGATGTTTCCTGTCTCACGTAGTTCCCCAGCTCCCTTGTGTTCCCTCCTTAGTATATGGTGGGCAAATTTCAGTTAAATCGGGTACGGTTTTACTTTTGTTTTTTGTTTTTTTGGTGCGATCTCTGAACTTTTTCTTCACACCCCATTATTGCAATGTTCACAAACACAATCAGGCTTTGATAATTCATGTCAGACACATGGTATATAGGCTAAACATTGCTGCAGGAGTAAGACAAACACTTCTGTTTCGAGGTTACCTGTACCTGCTGGTGCATTGAGAGCCTCTAATGCATGCATCATGCTGTTGGAAAAAAGAACTGCATCCTCTTTACTGCCAAAGTTCAGCCCCCACACGTATCTTGGATCCCGCCACTGATGGAAAGTCGCTGTGGCTTGATTATACTTCATCCCTTTGATAATTGGACAGTTAATCACCACCTGACAAAAGTAAGAAATAAAAGATAGTGAATGTATAGCTGCAATATCATTAACAATGCAGTTCAATTAAAAGTCAGGGGCCAGAGGTAAGTTGATTCCTGTTTATGATCATTTGTGGTTTGAATTAATTGAACTGCATAGTAGGTGTATGTGATGTATCGTGTGTGTTTATGCGATACAATGCAAGCAATTGTGAAAATTGCACAAAATGGCCCAATCTCCACTGTAAGACCGAATCATGGTGTGTTCCATTTAAACTGTCAATTTTTAAGTTCCTAGTCTATGTGAACTGAAACACCCCAACTCAGAAATTCAGAGGAATCCACCAACTTCAAAATCCAAGTTGATTGGTCAGCAGATCAACAGCAGTGACATCTGCACCATTGTGCTGTTTATGAGCACTTCTGTTTTAATTGTGTGCCATTAAATCAATTGTACATTAATGTTCAGCTTTCATCTGTAAACATTTCACTACTTGTATGCACAAACCACTGCATCATGCGTTGTCCACTAGTATATCTGACAATAGTTCACAACGGCTAAGCTTAAACAAAGCTTTGCCTGTAGGCGTGCATCTTGGTTCCCCAGCTTGTACTTTAACCTCGTCAGCGTGGGGGTGATTTCATCCTCAGGAGTCATTTGGTACAATAGTGGGATCCAGCTTAGGCACTTCAGTAAAGGCATATTTAGTATTCATTGTGTCATCATATTATAACTGGACGGCAGGGGCCATAGGTAGTAGAGTGTGTTATCCATTAATCACAAGGTTGTGAGATCAATCCTTGACTCCTGCTTGTTCCTATGTTTCTTCGGGCAAGACACTGAATCCAAAGTTGCTACCAATGGCAGGCAAGTGTGTGAATGAGTAAGTAGGGAAACACTGTTAAAGTTTTGAGTGACACTAAGAAAGCACTCTTAGTCAGCAATGATCTATGTGTTTACACTAACATGAAAATGAGTTTTTACTTGTGACATTGTTGTTTTTTCATTCATTTATTTATCAATTCTAATTTACCCACTTCTAGTAACCCTGTGTTTATTGTCACAGCAATATAAATTGTGGGCCAACAGGCAAAATCTGCAAAAACGTACATAGTATATGCATAAAGGGTTCAAGATGTATTGGAGAATTGTCATGTACTTCTTGATTTGACAGTGGGACAGTTCCCCTAAGAACTCATTCACTTAGCGGTAACGAGTGCTTTTTATTACGCACTACATGTCTTCCCCTACCGGCATCTCTGCTTCTTGTGTCTTAGTTCCTCCAAGTGAAGATGAAAGATGTGAGGAGGAGACTTGAGGATGTAAGAACTGAACATCAGCAAGCCTCCTATCCCCTCATCTCCTTGAGGTGCATATAAGTAAATGGAAGGGCCTTAACGATGGTAGAAAGGGAATAAGTTCCAGATCACAGGAGGAGAGACGCAAAGGTTAGCACAATAAAAAGCACCCTGTGAGTGAGGACACTGGGAATGAGACTGTGTGCCCAACTAGAACATGTTGAGTTGATCGTGTGTACGCTTGTATTGTACCTGCTGGTCGGCCTGCAGCTTACGGCCCACCACTCTGAAGGTGTTGGCCTCAGGGTTGTGATAGATGTGGACACGACTCAAGGAAGGAGTATCCGATCCTGCCGGTACCCAACGCTTGTTGCCGTCATCATACAGCATAACTGTTGCCCTCACCTGACATATACTGGATTCACTGGAAATGATGATGAGAAAAAGATACAGAGAGTGAAAAAAGACTGTAGGGTGGAAGGAAGTAAAGAGCATGGATTAGAGATTCAGTCCATGAAGACTCATACCTGATGTGTAGTATTAATTAGTGTCCGAGCACTAAAGTGCGTAGGACCCTATTGGAACTGCTGTGATTATGATTATTAGAGTCTGAGCACACCAGTGTGAGGAACAAGAAATTGAAGAAAACAAGGGTGGTCTAATCATTTTTTCCGTGACTGTATGTTGGCTGGTACAGGCTCCAATTTGTGATATTTTGTGAACCACACGTGTGTCACAATATTACAGAATATATGGAATATTTTTTATTATGAAAACTTGGTCACAAAAATGAAAAGAAAGTTATTTTCATGGTGGCTCGGTGGTTAGCACTGACACTCACAGCTCATTCGTCTCCCGGGCTGGGATCTTTCTGTGTGGAGTTTGCATATTGCATCCCTGTGACTGCGCGGTTTCTCAGGCTTCCACCTACATTCTAAAGACATGCTGAGGCTACGCGGTGATTCTACATGCTTGGTTGTCTGTCTCTTAGTGTAGCCCTGTGATAGACTGGTGACCTGTCCAGGGTGTCCCCTGCCTTCACCCTAAGTCAGCTGGGATAGACTCCAGCCCCCCACGACCCTGGTGAGGATTAAGAGGTGTATAGATGATGATAGATGGAAGAACTCAGACTGTAGAAACAGAGTGAACTGTTGCCGTAACTCTTCAGCTGTTAGGTATAAGGTTTCTTTTTTGATCAGACAAAGAGTGTTTTTAAGTAGGAGCTGTTTTTATCTTTGACGTGTTTCGAATGTCACTTCAGTTTGTTCGTCAGTCAGTTCTGAGGAAGACTGAAGCAACAGTTGAAACGCGTCAAAGGTAAAAGCAGCTCCTACTTAAAAATACTCATCGTCTGACAAAGAAAAAAGAGACCTTATACCTATAATCAGAGTAGACAAATGAACCTAATCATGCTCTTAAGCAGTTATTATAAATATACATGAACTACACTAACTTTCTGCTCATGGTCCAGCTTGTGAGATTGTTCTTGAAGGTAAAGTTCATTCCCAATGGAACACAAAGCAAGACAATCCAAACAGTCCCCAATGATCAGGAGATGAAGTTTACCACTAAAGTCTTGACGACATATGTACATTGTGTTACCATTAACTCTATGTCAAGGCATGGCAATTTATCACCAGAAAAATCCCACGACCACAACAGATGTATGTGTTTGGCTATTGTTGTATTGTACCCTATTAATCTAATGCAGTCATAATTGTCAAGGAACGTAAAAACAAAATTACCAAGGTTTATGCCGACAAAGTGGGGCTGAAAAATGAATTATATGCCCATATTAAACAAACAGAAAAGTCTTTCATTGAAATAGTGGTGGTTTTTCACAGCTTGACATATTTTTAATAGTTTAATAATAATAATAATAATAACAATCTGTTGCACTTGTGTGAGCAAGACTTCAGTGTTACATGTATTCTCATGATTATTGTGGAAACTGATAAGATCAAAAGGATTCTCTTGCTTTATGCAAAAGTGGTGAAGTGTGAATACATGCATATTTATAGGAACTGTTTAAGAGTTTACCGTCATGCATTTCTTCCAAAAAAGGATATGAACTGTGTAAGTATATTAGGTAAGACGACGGTTCACTCTTTTTCTTCCACACTATGACCAACAGAGAACCATGTTGACACTCCTTCAATTTTGAATAAACAATCTAGCAATATGTTTGTTTTTGTGGTACAACTTATCCTACCTGCTCAATCAGTATAAAAGTTCAACCCAGATGTTAAATAGGTATGTTATATTTTTTGTTTTGTAATATTGTCACATGCAACGACATCCATCCATCCATTATCTATACACCACTTAATCCTCACTAGGGTGGTGGGGGGCTGGAGTCTATCCCAGCTGACTCAGGGTGAAGGCAGGGGACACCCTGGACAGGTAACCAGTCTATCACAGGTCTACACTTAGAGACAGACAACCAAGCACACTCACATTCACACCGACAGACAATTTAGAATCACCAATTAACCTCAACATGTTTTTAGATGGGAGGAAGCCGGAGAACCCAGAGAGAACCTACGCTGCACGGGGAGAACATGTAAACTCCACACAGAAGGGTGTCCTCACTAGGACGCGAATCGGCGACCTTCTTGCTGCTAGTAAACGGTGCTAACCACCGAGCCACCTTGGAGCCACATGCAACAACATGTGGTTCAGAAAATATCACCAGTTCTGCATTGTCATATTTTTTATTTTTTTTGCTAATATGTGCTCAAAGACGGTACTTACTTGCCTTGACGACTTAATTTTAAAGAATAATTCAACTCACCCATAATCAGTGACTATTTGATTTAACTGTCTGTCAGACTTTTATCTCCAGTTTCTTTCTTTATTTCGGTATCATATCTGTAAATATTTGATATATCAATCTAAAATTTCACAAATATCATTATAAATGTCCATATTTTATACTTAAAATTAACAGTAACTGTCTCTGAAATTAAACGAATGGAAGAATGCATTGATTAAACCACTATGAAGTAACTGGCTGAGATTTTATTTTGTGATTCTTTCAGTAGTACATTGAGGTTGTTTATACACGTTTAGACTTTCATATATTTTATTTGTGTCACTTTGAATATTTTGGGGGGAAAGTTTAAAAAACGACTAATACAAACTAAAGGTGCTGCAAGTCCTTCTGCAAAGCATCGTGACAATGTTCTATTTTATGTGTACATGCTATTGCAAAGTTAGCAGCGTGTGGGAAATCTTTGCTTCCTGTCTGCAGGTTTTTTTTTTGTTTTGACCACTTCCTGTGCTCAGTGCAACGCTGCCTAATATGGACAAAAAAACATTTCACTTCAAAATCAAATTTGTGATCCCTCAAACCTCTTGCAGGATTTACTAATATTTTATGCCCACAAGACGTACATAGACGTTTTCATTCAGCGTGAAGGACTTGCGCCGAGCTGCAGACACTCAGACACAGCAGGAAATGCAACCACAACTGTGGAGCTTCTTAAATCAAATGTAACAGTAGTCGACAGTTGCACCATTCAGTGTATTTTCAGTTTTACATTCATGAATAAATCAAACTTTTTGGGGGAAAAAAAGCATCACAATTTCAAACAGATCAACATAATCGCTGTTATTCGAAAATGACTCACCTCATCTTCCAACTGTGGTGAATGTTCAACGCTTCAGCAGTCAGTTTCTTCTTATCGACTCGACTCACTTCTTCCCCCCGTTCACGAGTATAGTTGTTGTCTGTTGAATCAAACCTGCTGTAATTCTTGACAGCGCACCTCCATTCCTTCCTCTCACAACATGCACACAGTTGACTTGCACTTCTGCCTTTGTCTTCTCATTTCCTAGACAGTTTTTTTTCCTCTTCCTGTTCTCATCTCCTTCACTCGTTTTTTAAAATTCTTACTTTCTTACCTCCCCCTGTCTTCTGTCTCTCTGTGGCACAGGTATATTTCTACTATTTCTCTGCCAAAGCTGTGTATTAGTTTGGGAAAAGGGATAGTTTTTAGTACAAATGTGCCTTACTGTGTGTTTGCATGAGCATGTTTGGGTGTTAAAGAGTGAAGGACAACCAGATTAAATAAATTTAAACAGCATGAGTCCTCTTCACATCATTATTTAGACTATTTCAGATAAAGACTGTCACATGTTGCAAGTTTCTCTGCTGCATGCGAGGCAGCCGTCAGATGTTCTTGTGTTTCACTGCTCAAAGCAAACACCTGTTACTGCTCTGTTATAAGTATTAGTTGTATTATAAACAGCATTGAAGCACAAGGAGCAGTAATGGCAGCAAATGTATCAGCAGCACTGCAAATAATGTAGAAAATGTTGTGTTGATGTTGTGTTGATGTGGATCAGGGTTAGTGAGGGGGTGCTGAATTAAAGCTACATCAAAGTGCTCTGAGTCATGCCAAAAACACGGAACTGCCAGACGATTAAACTGTTTTAAAAGTTTGCGTTTCTGATGCAGGCAGCAAATAATGTACACTCAGTCATCAGTTTTTCAGGATATTCAAAACAAAATTACAAAACACACAACGCCCATTGCTGCTCTCTGACAAAGGTACATGTATAACTGTCACAGCACTGCTTAACCAGCACATCACTTCCCCGTAGGACTGTGATAACAATGAAAGAAGAACTGTAAACTTCATTATTTGTGCTGTTTAGGGACTAAATTTATTGCATTTCAGAAGAACACGGAACAATTCTTTATGAAATATGCACATTTTCATCTGGTGCATTTTTCATCCAGGATGTTGAAAATCAGAGACTTTTAATGGACTTGACCTCTGAAGCCCGTGCATTTCAAAAGCTTATTTACCGAATAAGTAGGAACTTTACATCAATGTTGTTTGGCATTTGTATACATGAATATCAGGAAACAGTTGTTTCGTCAGCTATCTTTCACGGTTTAGTGTGTGTGTGTGTGTGTGTGTGTGTGTGTGTGTGTGTGTGTGTGTGTGTGTGTGTGTGAGAGAGAGACAGTGAGAGAGAGAGACCATGTAACTGTGGCCTGAGTGTGTACATGTGAGACTGACAGACACCTCGTCAGTGACTAATTGTGTACCTTAAATAGTCATCTCTAGCCACATTTAACTGCTGTTCATTTCCTCTTCCCTTTCATGATCACTCGACAGTTCCTCATTCGCACAATGTTTCTGTGACAGGTTAAACGCAGTCTGCAGTGGAGCTAAATATCACTAGCTATCACCTTAAAGTTGAAGGCTGTGGTGGTTGATGTTCAGCTAGATAGGGCATTTACATACTTAGCATTTACCAGATTTACCATCCCTCTTGCTCTCACTGCTTCTACTTTCCCACCAGTCCCTCTCCTCCTTTCTCCTGTCATAAGCATGAGCGTGATGAACTGTAGTTCACCTGACACTTTGTCACAGCCTGTACCATGACCCGAGCCACTGAAAACTATTTGTAAATAAACTGATAGATCATATATTTGTCCAAACACACGTACCTTTAGCTGTACCAGGCATTAAAATGAACAAGAAACTGAAGAAAACAAGGGTGATCTCATCATTTTTTTCCATGACTGTATATATCAAGCAAATTCATCAAATTAAGTTTATGTCATTTTGCTGTACACACAACAGTAGCACAGGCAAGATGAGAGAGCGTTTCTTCAGGATCTAATAATTAAAAGCAATTAAATAAAGAACCGTGTGCATATCTGGATCAGCAGTTCAGCATTCTGACAGCTTGTGGCATGAAGCTGTTGATCAATCTGGAGGTTCTTTCTTTAATGCTCTGGAAACGTTTGCATGATGGCAGCAGTTCAAACAGTTTATGGGGTGCTGCTGTAGCTCACCTGGTTGAGCTGGTGCCCTCTCTACAGGGGCTGTATTCCCCGATGCAGTGGACGTGGGCTTGAATCCCGCTCATGGCCTTTTGCTGCAATTCCTTCCCCCGTTCTTCTCCCCCACTTTCCTGTCTCTCTCTCAACTGTCCTATACTAAAAAGACCAAAAAAAAAAACTAAAAAAAAAAGCAGCTTATGGAGAGGGTGTGAGGAGTCCCTGACAACGTTCATTGCCCTGCTCCTGCACTCCCTCCACTCTCTGTGGGTTTCTCTCAGCAAATGTAGCTCATCCAGCTTGTTGTGGACGGAGCGGACATTGGAGAGGAGGAGGATGGTCCTGCTGGTCTGGAGGGGTTAGCCTTTAGCTTAGCATGGATCCTGGCTCTCTTCCTCCTCCTTTGTTTACATTGCGCTTATAAAACAAAGTACACACACACACACACACACACACACACACACACACACACACACACACACACATATATATACATATATATTGCAAGAGAAAACTAGTGCAGAGAAGTCACCAAACAATCAAAAGGCCTTTGCTGACTGATGCCACAAAGGTATGATGGGTTTATTTAAGCAGCTGGTTTTACATGTTTTGTGCTTCAAACTCTCTAAATGAACTAAGGAGAGGAAGTATGAACAACATTTCTCTACAATGTTTAAAAAGTAGTTGCCAAAGTCAACTGTAAATGGGTAAAATGTGAGTTTGATAATTTACTTCTTTCTTTTGGTCACTGTATCCTATAAGTTCTATAACAATATTTAACAGACATCCCAGCGATCATAAGGAGGGAGCAGGACCGAGCACAGATCCAACTAAAGGTGCACTACTGAATGTTACTGTGACTGTGCGGTAAATTAGAGCACAATACATCGTTAACAGGATCAGGTTTGACTTAAATCATGTTATTTATTTGTGCATTGTCAGAAAGAGAATAAATGGCAAGTAAAATGCAATATTTAAAATAATTCTGACAATAAAAACAGCTGAAAAATCTAATGAGATGTTGTGATCGTTGCATTATTTGAACTTTTTGCTTTTTGTAGATACAAGCATCAGGAGGAAATCTTGAAAAATTTGTTGAATCGTTTCCATTTTAGCTGAACACAAACAATACAAATGAACAGACTGTGTTTTTGTCAAATTAAAGATTCGTTTATTGTCAACACGTTGTGTCAGTTTGGATTTGGTGGGTCAAACTGGAGCAGTTCAACAGTACTTTCTACCTACCTAGGACACTTTGTTGTTGTCTACACATGCAGGTAAATGAGTATGCAGGTGAGTCAATGGATGGCTGATGTGCAATTCAGTTCAATTCAATTTTATTTATGTAGCACCAATTCACAACTTATGTCACCTCATAGCACTTCACATAATAAGGTAATGAATTTTAAACAAAGAACAGAGAACCCAACAATCCAACGTTGCCTTAGGATTCCCTGTGAGCAGGAAGCCAGCGATGGTGAGAAGGAACCAAAAAAAAACCTTTGCACCCCTCAACGTTGTGCAGAGACGTTGAAGAGAGCAGGTTGTATGTTTTTTGTTTAATACAGTACTTCAGAATTCTGCCATCTAACATCCATGTCAAGCATCATCTTCATTCATCTACTCCAGTGGTTCTCAAACGTTTTGAGCCTCGATCCCCAAGATAACATCACCCACCAGTTTGAATTTTTAATACATCATGAGTAATAACTTTGTTGTTCATGCACGAATGCGTTAAAAATTAATGTGCTAATTCCACATATTAATCTCTTTGCATTAGCACATTGACTTTCTTTTGAATGAATGAATGAAATTGATTTCGAACAAATTAAAGGGAAAAAGAATATAAACATAAAAGAAAATAATTTTGAAAAGAGCATTAAAAAATAATAATATCACACAATCAAATCATGATATTAAATTCGAAAAAGGAGTGGGAAGAAGTAAACACTTTTATTTTGACAGCCCTAATCCAAATTTATTTGAAAAATGTAGGCTTTTTTTAAAATTATTATTATTATTTTTTACAATGATCTGGCGACCCCCTGAAATTATCTTGGGACCCCCATAGGGGTCCCGACCCCCCAGTTTGAGAATCACTGATGTACTGCATTATACTCACTGGATTTAATTGAGAGCAATTTTTGGCCCTTCGTTTCTTTTTTAAAATATTGATTTAACATCCTGACTAAAACAGAAAGTAATGACAAAACACAGAGAGGGTACAATCACAACAATACAGATGGTCTAAAATGTTACACAATTAAATAATTTATTAGAACTAACATGACTTTCATTCCTAAATGTCTTGTGGAACAGCCACGGTATGGTAAAGAACTACAGCGAACCCTTCATGTAGTATGAAGGGGTTGAGTACAGCAAATAGGGGTTGAGTTTATGGTCCGCAGATGCGAAGCTGCTGCTCTCATGGGCCTGGCGGCGGTAGTACCTGCGTAGTGCAGGACTGCCGGGGTGGCACTGTCTCACATGAAGGAAGTACTCATCGGGACGGCTTGACGTGAAGCCACAATCCTCACAAACAAAGATCTTGGAGCGTCTCTGGCGGTAGGCGTACTGCTGGTGAACGCCATGAATCTTCCTCATATGGGACTCCAGAGAGCATCGCTGTGTGAAGGCTTTCTCACACAGCTCACACTTGTAAGGACGGATACCTGGAGCAGGGGGGGGCAAAAGACAGTTTCTTAATTAACATACCTGGAATTTGAATAAAAAGCTTTAATAACCTGACAGAAAATTTGTCTTTTAGGCCTTTGGTTTACAATGTGACTTTAATTAGATACTGGCACATGTATTGTACAACTAATAATAAAGTTAATTTGCAGATTAAAAGTTTAATACATTGTTACAACATTTATTAAATAGTAAATTACCCTATCCAACCTAATTACAAGTGTAGGTTCTGTTTTATCTTGTCATATAATGCATCTACAAGTATCTGCATTATTATTATTACAAAAACTGTAACTCAGTGAAATGCAGCATTGAGTTACTGCTACACATTATTACAACATTAATATTATTTATAACTTAAAATAAGACTGACATCAGTAATTTTACACAATGAGTGTTTTTCATACTTAAAGCACACCTCTGCTCATACATCTGAGTTTCAGTTGCGTTCTGATGTATGAAATATTCATTTGTGGCAAAGTATTTTTAGATTGTTGTTCTGATACTTTTGTTTAAGGATGTGTAGACATTCCTTACCTGTGTGTGTTCGCATATGCCTCTTGAGGTCGAAGGTATCGTTGAATCCTTTGCCACAGAATCTACAAGGATGTCTTTTCACCAGGCTGTGGCACTTCAGGTGGCGGGTTAACATGCGCTGCAGGGGGAAGATCTTGTGACACACTGAGCACACAAAGTCACCTGAGATGGGGGAAGAGCGGGGACGGGACTGGGAGGGAAATCACAAAACTGCTTAATAAATGTGACAACAATCACACAAATCATCATCATCAAGGTTTTTCTCAGCTCTCTTTAGCTTGTGAGGAACAAGTTGTACTATAAATAGTTATTCATAGCTTTAAACGGGCCAAACATTCCTGTAGAAGTCCAGTGTTTATGTTAAATAATGTTTGGTCTATGTTGTCAGACTCTGCAGTGGTTGATAGTGGGGGTTGATGCTGAACGCCATGGCAACCCAGCAGGCAGTAACTAAAATAGATCATTCTCACCCACCATGTTAGCGATTTAGCATGCTAGCCAGTATGCTTAGCTGCAAAGCATGCTGTATGAACTGAACTGAACTTTTTAAAGCTCACTGGCATGCAAAGCTCTGCTAACAGAATGTTAGATACATCCCAGTTCAACAGCCTGACTCACATCAGCAATCAACAGCACATACACACATCTAGCACTAATAGGAAGCCCCATTCCAGTCAACATCATGTTAAAACATCATTAGACACAATATGTGAACTGCATCGCCTGCTAACACTTTCATTTAACACAGCTGTTCACTGGGGCCGACCACAGGTGTAAATGTACTTGGTTGTCTGTCTGTTAGTGTTGGCCCTGTGATGGAATGACAGTCTGTCCAGGGTGTCCTGGACACTGCCTTTGTCCTAAGTCAGGCTTGTGCAGTGTATAGAAAAAGGATGGATTTACTGGGACCAGGCAGCAGTGTCTGCCGTGTTTTCTTCTCCACTTCATGGTTTGGGCTCTGCCCCGTTATGCTCAGTTAACAGGGGCAAAACTGATCTGCCAGCAGAACCCTTAAAGTATGACTTCACTGGTTGGACCTTTGGTTTCCAGCCACATTCCTCTGACTCCATAAGAACTCTAAGCTTTCTATTGCATCCTACTGTCAACTCAGCAACACAACACACTGTTGCAAGTAAGATCCACTTACAGGCCTTGACCTAAGATTAACCTCCGGTGCCCTCCAACGGGGCAGCAGTGGCTCCGGTGGTACGGTGGGTTGTCCACTGATTTCAAGGAATGTTTTTGATCACTAGCCCCTCCGCCTGCCAAAGTGTCCTTGGGCAAGACACTGAACCCCAAGTCGCTCCCCATGGCAAGCAAGCACTTTGCATAGCAGCTCTGTTGCCATTAGTGTGTATAAATGTTGGTGTGTATGGGTGAATGAGAAACACATTGTAAAGCACTTTGGGTACCAATAAGGAAGAAAGAAAAAAAACCTGGTCTTTCCGCTTTCTGCACGGAAGTGTCCATTATCTCATTCCTTCTTTTCTCTGTATCTTAGTGATCACTGCACAACAACAGTGAAGAAAATCTACATCGCTGTGAATGAGAAGACAGCCAGGCCTAAAATGTCCAAAAATCAACTAAGTATTTCTCTTTCTTTTTATGTTCAAAGACCTAGGAGTATGTGGATTCTCTATTTGAATATGTTTCCACAAAAACACATCCAGAACATTGTTGCAGTATTCAGCTTGTGGAGCTCACCATCTGGCCCAAGGGCTAATGCTGACTTCTCTCACCTAACTGTCACTCCTCCTTTCATTGAGGGTTTAACCTCCAATCACAACTGGTCGCTATGTTAACTGACTTCACCTGATTACTTTTCACTGACTTCTTTAGAAGTACTGATCGTTTTGTAGTCAGTTCCCTCTCCACCTGCTCCCAATAACCTTTTCTTCTGTTGATGTATTTTCAGATTACTTTGCTTGAAGTCCGGCGTATCTACAAGTGTCTGCAAGCTGCTCTATTCACAGCAATTAAGCTGATGACCCTAACAAGGCAAATATACATATAGAACAAAAAGTGCCAAATACTGGATAAGCAGTAAACTTGGTCACATTCAGGCAATGACACCCTGTTTGACAAGGGTGATGAAGTCTGACCTTACCTTCGCTCTGCTGACCAGGGCCAATGCGCTGTGATGGTAGAGGGAGCCACGGAGCATTAGTGTGGACCAGTCTGGCCTGGTGTCTACCTCTGGTGCTCCTGATCCTTGCCAAGGCACTGGAACTAGAATTCCTGCTGCTGGCCCACATCCAGAAGTGGCTACTGGAAGAGGCACTGTGGCAGGCTGTTGGGTGTCAGAACTGCAGGATTTCTGCTCCTTAGTCATTTCACTCACTAAAAAATAATAAAAAGAAACAATTTAAGTTTAAATTAAATTAAGGTCAACTGACTACATATGATAAAGCAATAAAAAACAGCTTTTAAATGATGCTACTGCTTTACTAAAACTAAACAGAAAGATGCCTGACGTTCATACCTGGAATGTTCTCTTCTTTCCACTCGTGCTGTTCTGGTTCTTTCCATTGCCATGCTCCATGCGCCGCACGTTTCTTCTTCACAAGGAAAGACCTAGGCATCCTTACAAATCTTTTTCTTGTACTTATTTACCTATCTTTTACTTGCCCCTCACCATGGAATCTTGACACACTGCTTTAAGACTTGATCTCTTGCTGCCCAGCACTACCTTGTCCTCAACCCCATACGACTAGAGCCACATCCGACCTGCAGGTTGTGTCCCAACAAAATCACAGCTCTAATTTCCATAACACTCTCTGGGCAGAGTCATGCAAGTTGAAAGCCCTTGGGAGGGATGGGGAGGTGGTTAGGAGGCTCACTGTTTTGACAGTGGTACACCTGTGCTGGCTGTGCGCGTGCACTATTTTAACTGGTCCTCCACTGGTTTTGCATGTCAGGTAGTGAGAATCCGGGGAACTTCACATTCAAGTGGCCCTTGGCATGCAAATTCTAGCCCTGGACCAAGCCCTGGCCCCAGAAAAAGGGCAAAGTCTGAGTAACAGGAGCAAGCACAGTGGAGCCACAGCCTTAACTGCTAGGTAAATCAGCCCTTTCTCTTTTTTGAAGCCTTTCTCTTGCAATTGTTTGGTGGGATTACAGAGCTTCTCAGAGTGCATACAAAAGCTGTTTACACACACTCTTGCAATTTCTTGACTGTATTGTTTATATATATATATACTAGTATGGCTGCACTTTCTGTCCTGTTGTTTTGGTCTCTACCACATACTCAGTGCCTGCTGAAATAATAAGCAGCATCCCAAGCATTGAACAGAGAAGGATGAAACAGAGAATGGATAGATTCATATCTCCAAAAGGGTCCACTCACCAGTTGGTTTACCAATATATTACTTGTTAATGTATAACTTGTATTTCTAAAACATTTTGTTAAACAACAACACATTTTGAAAATAAAGTGCATGTCACTTCTTCAATTGTCTGCACAGTCACTGCATGCTTAACAGGAAAAAGAACTGCCTCCTTATTTCACCGGACTGTGCAGCGCATATACAAATGCATCCCTGGACTGAACCTCATCATGCAAATAGCAATAGAGGTCACTCCAAGAACATCAGGATGAGCCTGTAGTGCAAAACGTAAAGCAGTAAGAACGCACTTCAGCCCTGCTACACTTAACCATTGAGTTGATGCATATCTCACATTTCAAATGTGCCAGACATTCAGGATATTGTAGATATTGGCCCATGGGAGAAGAAAGTCCAGGAAAATAATTAAGCTTGTCATACACGTTAAAATAGCACTGTTGCCTCGCAGCAAGAAGGTCGCCGGTTCGTGTCCCGGTGAGGACACCTGTCCTCTGCCTTCACCCTGAGTGAGCTGGGATAGGCTCCAGCCCCCCACAACCCTAGTGAGGATTAAGCGGTGTATAGATAATGGATGGATGGATGGATGGATGGATACACATTAAAATGTAACAGCTGCAAGCCTACGTTTAATACTCTGCCAATGGCTGTCAGTGAAATGGCAAGATTGGAAACAATGTGTTACTACAATATACAAACTGGCAATTAATCAAGAGGCTAAACCCTGTTGCTCCTTAGTAGTATAGTATAGTATAGTATAGTATAGTATAGTATAGTATAGTATAGTATAGTATAGTATAGCGTAGCGTAACATAGCATAACAATGTATACTATACTATACTATACTATACTATACTATACTATAGTAATAATATTCACAATATTCAAAATCTAGATACATATATATATATTGATTTTTTGTATGTATTTATTTATTTATTTTTGTAAGTGAGTAATGAAATTCTCGTTGGATTGTTAGTGTTTCCTTAAGTGGCTGCAGGAGACTGTTGACTGTACTGTGTGTTGTTGCCCTCCGGAGCTGTGCTCTAACTGTATGCAAAGCATCTGTCTGTGTGCTGCAGCATGGAAATGAAATGGTAAATCAGATTACTTTGTACTACACAAAACAACCGGCCGCTTCAAGGGATGTCTAACTCCTCTCTATAATTCATGTGTCTGTCCACTAACTTGAGTATTAGTACTGTACACAATAAGGCATGTTGACTTTTGATGAATTGCAGAAAGCATAACTGCATTTATTGAGAAGAGTGTCTTTTTTATTATTAAAAAAACAACAGCCAATTACAATAGCAGATAAAATCTCTTGTTTCTCTCCAGATGATAAATGGTCTGGACAAAACACCTAAAAATGAAGAGGTTTGACACTCACATTACCCTTTATAACTGGGCAGCTGCTGTTGATGTAGTCTTGACAAATGCAAATTAAACTCTGACACATTTCAAGTCAAATATATGAGCTTTCCTGAGGAATCAATAGCAGTGATGAAGGAGATAGAAAAGCCCGTTCTTTTTTTTGACCTTAGAAAAGTCACTTGTCTGAACATGAATATGTATGCATTGGAGGCCACGTTTAACTGTTGATGTGTGCTATGGTCAGCCACACCCTTATTGCCTTTTTCAGAAGGACATAAACGTGTTTGCACGGCGATGAATTGCTACTCTTCTTTACAAAATAAACTGCAGACTAATAGTACAACTTAAATTACACAATGAGACAATCTTCAGACTTTACTGTCTCTGTATTATGTGACAATTTTAGCTTAGCTATTCAGTTAGCTTGTACGATTTACTAGTCACAGCAGCACGTTGTTTCCCATCTAATATATCCAGGCTGTATCTATCTATCAGGCCTGCGGACCAAACCATACACTGTTGGTGCTATTTGCATTGAATTCATGTTTGTATTTGTGTAAAGGAGTGATTCAAATAATTATTATGTCACATACACAAGCAATATATGTAGTGAAGGCTGTGCTGAAAGCCTGTTGTGTGAAAACTAAGAAAGAAAAAGCCTAAAAATTAAACAGTAGATTAAAGTAAAATACATGTAAATGACTGGGTGTATGGCCAAGTGAAATGTGATTGGACTTAATGTATATTGCAGTTAGTATTTACTGTATGTTTAACTGATATTTATTGCACTGAATGCTGTATAATGTATAATTTTTTGTATATGTGTTTGGTCTATAACAAATTACTCAAACTAAAACAACATTAGGTGCCTAATGTGTCAAGTGGAGGTAAAGTATTTTGCTATATGTTCAGAAAAAATCACTGTAGAGATTGTATTTAGTTTTGTCACTTCAGAAATCAACAAAACATGTCATTTAGCTACGGCAGCTACCCTCAGGCTGTTGCTATTATCATTAATATTCATTCATTCAACATCAATTCACAATGAATCGAGTGTCAGTCCTTAAAACATGCACCTCAAACCCAGGAAACTCAGGTGATAGAAATTCTGCTTCCTTAGGTTTAGCAAACATATGCTAAACCTAAGGAAGCATTCTTTGAATCGCTCCTTTACATAAATACAAACATGAATTCAGTGCATGGGATAGTGAATTCAAATGATGTGATACAGGATGTAAGAATAAAACGCACCTAAAAACAAGATTTAAAGAGACATCTACCGCTGCTAAACATCTAAAATTGAATTCTAAAAAAAGAAGAGAAATGCAAACTAAATGCCTTTTAAGTGTTTTGTGTGTCTATGTTCTCATGTCATTATAAATATAATTCCTTTAAGGAAAATAATCCTGCCTCAGTAGCTACACTTTCATCACTGTTTTTAAATCAGTGAATAAACCTTAACCTTAACTTTGCCCTAACCATTACCCAAGTCTTTCCCATAAAATAGAATAATTGAAGTTCTGCCGACTTGCTTGTTGTCCTCAAAAAAAGCCCCAACAATTTAATTCCATGTATGTTGCTAAATCCCAACATGCTGTGAGTCCTTCAGGGGGTTGGTAAGGTCTTGACCTTAACACGTAAAATGTTACGGTTAATGGAGTTAGACGGTCCAGTCAATGCCTAGGGTTCTTTGTTTTGGGCTTTGAGCTGTTCCTGAGCAGTTTGAAGGTGTGGTGGGACCTATTGTGCACTGGGGAGTGCCAGTGCCATGGGCTGTGTGCTTAGTCTGCAACCAATTTCAGGTGGGTGGTTGTAGTCAAAGTAGCCTAATGAATGGCAGGACTGAAGGTTTCCAGGACAATATTTCATTGTCAAGAGATTAAAAATTCATTTCATCCTTCCTTGTTTATGTTTTAATGTTACTGTTGCTGATCAGTCTAGAAATGATTGGTTTAAAAAAAAAAGAAAGAAGTTGAATTTAAACTGAAATGAAAGATAAAGTTTTGGGTTCCTTTGCTCTCAGCGCTCTGAGAGCAAAGTTTTCTATCAGGAAATGAGGAAACTATTTTCAGATAAGACACAGCTTCATCATTACAGACTTTGTATGTGAGGAGAAGGATTTTAAATTCTTTTCAGGATTTTCATCATTTCGTTTGTCATTCAACATTTAAGGCATTTAGAATACAAGAGCGTCCTGTGGTCTGACTGAATCTTTGTTGTGACTCAGCATGTACAGAGACAACCGGTGGATGCAGTTTTCTCTGGGACATCAAAGTGGACACAATTCTTATTTAAACAGGTTCTGACCAAGAGGGTCAGATAGAACAAGGTTTTTTGTTGCAAAGTCTCTCTCAGCACCCACAGTTAAAATGTAGGGGTATGTGCACTGTGCTCCACCTGAGTAAGGCAGGAGGAAGGGCCTCATGAGCTGTCTCCAGTCCCCTGATAAGAACAATAGCTTTTACTAAATCTAAGTTCACTAGAGACTGCAGTTCCCAGGATTAAAGACTTTTCTCATATCAGCATGGTTAGAGGAGGACCCCTGCTGGTTGAACTAGTTTACTGCAACAGAGGATATTGGTGACTGTGTTTCTCTTTGAGTCAAATATGCACACATCATGTTCAACATTACTGTTTAACTTCCACAAGATTCACAAAAAGGCAAACCTTTCAGAAAAGGTGAAATAAATGCCTAAACATTGTCTATATGCAGAACAGAAAATGCATTCTCCATAAGGTGTTTCCAAACTTTTCATTCAATGATTAAAATCCCTTACTGTTGTTTAAGTACAAGTTACTGTTATGCCAAAAACATCAGAGCTTTGTTTAGTGTTGGTTTGTTTACTCTGATCTTTCCCAGTTCTAGCAGAATGGTGGATTTCAAGCAAGGGCAGCATAGTTGTGAGCCTGTCACCCACTGCATGTCACAGGAGTTCAGTGGAGTCCTCTACCTCCTGCCTATCCAGACACATAATATGTAGGAAAGCTTGGGGATCTGTGCACTGTTTCCCGTTTTAATGCATCCAAACTGATGTATAAAGATTTCAATTCAAACACAGCAATCTGATATCAGTCTGACTGAAAACTTTGAACATTTGTTCAAAATATCTTTTAAAAGCAAACCCATTATTGCTGAAAAGAGTATGAAACTTAATCTTGCTTTTGCCTCATTTAAAATAGTCTGAGCTTAGGTTTATCCAAGGCGTGACGTTATGTTAAAACTCTGTGATACAATATCATGTGTATAGAGTACGATAGAAAACCGCAAAAAAGTCTGGAGTTCAGAAACTGTCGTAACCACATCCATCTAGTTCAGCTGCTCTTTTTTAAACAGCTGATCCAGTGCACACAGTGTCTTAGAGTAATTGAACACTGCTTGATTTACAACCCAAGACCTAAGTGGCCAAGAATTGATAATGCGATCAAACAAGCAACAGCTCATCATACCGTTAAAAAAAAAAAGAAAGAAAGAAAGAAAGAAAAGAAAAAAATGTAATGAATTGGAATAGATCATAATTTTGCAATGGGTTTGCTTTACTGGAGGAGGAAAATTTACTCGATAATGTTGAAGTTCATGCTCTAAAATACTGCAGGAACAAAGCTGGAAATTTTAATTTATTTGCTTAAACAAGGAACAAAGAAAATAACATTTTCTTAAAACCAATTAACAGACAGTGATTGGATTATGGATGAACTGATGCTTTAATGGGTAAACTACAGCTGATAAACATGTGTCTAAGTGTTTGTGTTACCTTATTGCAGGTCCTATAATGCCCCAACACCCCCTGCAGCCTTTTGCTGGTGAGCATTTTGGAAGAAACCCCCTCTCTTGTCCAAACAGCTCAGCATGGCAGGGTGCTGAGAAATCTAAAAACCACCAAGTTGTCTGTGAAAACAATTGAGAAACAAGTTGGACACTGTGTGTGAGAAAGGCAACAGGAAACTAGGTCTAATTAATAAGAGAAAATTAGATTGAGATGAGACCAGCACCACCCATCCCCTAAGAATCTCAACAGCAGGTCTCATGCTTTGACTTTTTTAAGTGTACATCAGGCAATTGAAGGTTTGTTACAATGCCAACACACTTCACTAGAGGCTACAGTCTCTGTGTGAATATTGGAGAAATTGCACAAAAGCATGCCGGTTGTATTGCATCTATCACAAAGTTTAGCCTGTTGTGATGAAGACAAAGTAACAGGTGAGATTAATAAGAAACGCTTAGAACGAATATGATCCAGGTTTTGACAAAACATGAACAAAAACAGAAGTGGTCTGTTCTGTTTTCTTCCAGCTGTTTCTGCATGTCTTTTCTCCTGGTTTAATAAAGAACTGCAGCTTCCAACAGCAGCTCGATGCATACAAGCATCTTCAAAGCAAGAGCGTTACAAAGCAAGGTACAACAGCAAACGCTTCAATAAGAAGATTCATCAGTAAACAGCAAGTCACACTTTTCTTCATATGAGACAGGTGAGCATTCACTCATATGGAGCCACAGCACAGATCTTAGGGCAGTCCATTGCCTGTAAATTCTACTTCTGAAATTATTTGTACATATTTCATAGTGGCATATTTAGATTTTTTATTATTTTATTTTATATTTTGTACCCCTCAGTACTTTTTTCTTTTTTTAAATTCTCATATCTTGGTTAAGACAATTCAAAGTTTTCTGGGATCAATAGAGCAGGCTTTCTTTGCAGGGCGCTTCACCATAACGATTTAGTTTTATTTAGGTTTTACATTGACTAAGCTAACAAGTAAAGTGTGGAACATTTTCTACCTAAAAGATGGTTTTAAGTGGATTCAAACTGAAAACACAGCCCTGTTATATTCTGCCATGTTTTTCATCACTAGCAGCTGCTGGGGGAGGAGTGAGCGCTGATTGGTCCTTCCTCACAGCTGCGGGGGGAGGAGTGAGCGCTGATTGGTCCTTCCTCACAGCTGCACAAACACGCGCTGCAACAACAACCGGCCGTGGACTGTTGACTGCGGCGGCGCGGCGCTCTGAGGCGCAGCTTCCATCTGCTCCAGTAGCTGTAGAGTGAACGAAGTAGCAGTCCTCTGAAAAAACAATTAAAACGCAAGTACTTCGCCAAACCTTCCCCAGACGAAGAGGCCAAAAGAATGAGTTCCGCATGCTTGGTCCTCCAGCAGCCCTCCTTCGGCACAGCTCCGTGGTCGCGCCCCATGACAGGCAGCAGCAGCTCGGACACAGACGCCAGGTAGGTATCGATGTGATGCTGGATCATTTAGTCCAACTTCAGTGATGTTCCTTTTGATCGAGAGAGTGCTAATAAATACTTTTTTATTTAAGGACAATTCACTGGCTAAAATGTACAATGACTAAGCAGCTAACGTAGCTGGATGGCAGTTTACCAGCTTCCTGTAATGCCGAAAGCCATTACAGGTAAATATGTAAACATACCTTTATGTCATTAGTCGCAGTGTAATAACACCCAACTACAGGTTGTGTGCAGAAGTGTAGTCAAAGCGAATGCTAGCTAACCTGCTAGCTAACGGTTGCTAGGCGACAGTTGCAGCTGGTACTGGGCTTTCAAAGGCCTCCACCTCAGATTCAAGGTGTTTTATTGGTCACAAACACAGTTATACATGGTGTAACGCCCAGTGAAATGCGTTGTGCACCTGTTCCACACCAAAAGAATAGTAATAAGATAAATAAGAATAAAGAATCACAAGAAACAAAAAAATATATATGAATGTATACATGTATATATATAGAGAGGAGGGAGATAGATATAGCATAGATAGATATAGAAATAGAAATAGCATCTATCCATTATCTATACACCACTTCATCCTCACTAGGGTCACGGGGGGCTGGAGTCTGACTCAGGGTGAAGGCAGGTTCACCTGGACAGGTCACCAGTCTATCACAGGGCTACACTTAGAGACAGACAACCAAGCACACTCACATTCACACCTACGGACAATTTACAATCACCAATTAACCTCAACATGTTTTTGGACTGTGTGGGAGGAAGCTGGAGAACCCGGAGAGGACCCACGCTGCAAACTCCAGGCAGAAAGATCCTGGGTGTCCTCACCAGGACACGAACCAGCGACCTTCTTGCTGCAAGGCAACGATGCTAACCACCGATCCACCCTGCAGCCCACACCAAATCCATTTTATTTATTTATTTTTTCAAAATTTGACAGCACAGGGAAAACACAGACAGATGTCGCAGCCATACTTTTTTCATAGTGTAAATGCATCCACTGCTTCCACAATTTAAACAAAGTAAACAGAAACTGATTTGGGTTTGCAAACTGTTTTTGTGGTCTGGAGCATATTCACAAACCAGATGTGGGTTATGGGTACACAGGTTGTTGTATTCTAATCAGTCTTCTCTTGTGTGCCTCCTCTCTGCAGCCAGACCTCATTGTGGAGACCATGGTTGTCCAGCAGGGGTAGGCCAGGGCAGTGTCCACAAAACAAGCTGTCCTTTGTAAGTCACAACATCTCCTTTCATTGAAGACAGTTGTCAGTGAATGAGTGATCTTGTCAGTTGACAGTGCTTTGAGAGTTAATGAGAGACCAAACGTCTGACCAGACAAACTAGCTGAGGGATGAGTCATATTAAAGGTGTCAGCATCAAGTAGTTTAAAGATGCATTCAGACTGATTTACACTGCGTGACAATGCGCAACCTTCTTATTTATTTGAATAGAGCTAGGCTGTTAGCACAGTGGGAGTGCAAACACTGGGAGCCGCAGCAAAGCAATGCAGGGTTATCTGTTTAAAAAGCAGGACCAGGATCATTTCTTGCCGCAATAAAGACATCTGGCGAGGCGCGGCATTAGCCAATCAAATATGTGCAAGCTGACATTCCTGTTGGATTGATTTATATTCCTACACTTTGCATGGTCATCGTTGCAAAGCATCATAAAATTGTTGATCTCTGTGATAAATTTAGTTTGCAGAGTCCTGTCTGTAAACAGTACAAACTGCAAACTTACAACAAAGTTCCAAAAGACAGCAAAGACCTGTTTACTCAACATGCATGTTGCCTTTAGCATATAACAGAGCATTTTAAATTAATTTAGATAGAATACGACTTTTAGAATTGCTGATGTGAAAGAGCAAAAAAAAAAATCACAAGTTTTGGTTGCTTCTGCTCAGCAGTGATGGCGTGCACTCCTTCTCTTTGTCTCTAACTTCCTTAGCCTCACTCCATACCCACAGTGCCAGGCTGCTTCTCATCAGATGGGAAATCACAGGCCTTCCAACATCCTGTCAGGTCAGTATCCTCTCAGTTGCCACATTTCCATCCTTACAAATGGGCACAGCCTACTGTCAGCATATACATAATGCATGAAATCCACAACACACCTGCAGTGAGTGTGGTTTGACTTGACTACCACATCTGTTTCTTGGTATTTAACTTGCAAGCCTGCAATTTTTTAGCGCCTATTAACAGACTGTTGTATGGTTTCTTTCTCTAACAGGCTGTTCTGGCCTAAATCCAAGTCATTTGACTATTTATACAGCGATGGAGAGACCTTACTGAGGAACTTTCCAATTCAGGCAACCATCAGCTTTTACAACGAGTCTGAGAGTGAAGATGAAGATGAGGACTGGGAGGAAGAAAGCAACTCTAAGCAGTGCCTCAAACAGCAGTCTTATTTCACCCTCTGCAACTGAGTGACAGGAAGCCTCCTTGTCTTGCAGAATTGTTCCTGCACACTTAAATCAGAAATCAAATTGGTTTAAAATTATTCCAGATGGCGACATTGGAAGGTGGAGGCTTTAATGAAAGAGGGAGGAGGGGGAGACACAATCATATTTAAAAACAAAGACAGTAGCACACATAATACACATGAGCAGTGTCAGTGTGTGTGTTTGACCTGGCAAAATGTGTTACGAAAATCTGCAACACTTGATTATACAGTTATGATTTCAGAGCAGATTCAGTCGAACTAATGTGAGGAATTGCATACATTGGAACTGTCCATTTTCATCACTCTCTCGCCCCCTCTTGCTCATTGTGTTGCCTGTAGTGCACACAACAAACATTTATCACACAGTTGTACAGTGATATGTAGTATCTGCTGTACAATGTTGTTTTTTTTTTAGTTGTTCCCACATTGGGATGCTTCATGTTTACAGTCAGTCTCAGGGTCTGATGCATGCCACTGTATATAGAATGTACATGTGCATTTTTAACTTATGATGTACATAATTTATACAAATTCACATATTTATGTTGACATATTTTTGTGTTTGTGCATCCTCATTGTGTAATGTGAAAACACAACAGAAACTGAGGTTGTAAAAACAAATAAAATCATGTATTTTGGGAATGAAGAATGTGCGTTTGTGCTCCTCTTTATGTGGCTTTGGTTCAAGGTTGGGCTGCAAGGTGGCTCCGTGGTTAGCACCGTTGCCTCGCATCAAGAAGGCCATTGGTTCGTGTCCCGGTGAGGACACCTGGGATCTTTCTATGTGGAGTTTGCATGTTCTCCCTGTGCAGCGTGGGTTCTCTCCAGGTTCTCCGGCTTCCTCCCACACAGTCTGAAAATATGTTTAGGTTAATTGTTGATTCTAAATTGTCCGTAGGTGTGAATGTGAGTGTGCTTGGTGGTCTGTCTGTAGCCCTGTGATAGACTGGTGACCTGTCCAGGTGAACCTGCCTTCACCCTGAGCCAGCTGGGATAGACTCCAGCCCCCCACGACCCTAGTGAGGATTAAGCGGTCATTTTGTGCAGAAGTCACATGAAGCGCACAGTGTGAAGCAGAAAGTCTGAGTTGACAAAGACTGACACCAAGAAGGCCTCTGATCTCTCATGGGAGAGAATGAGCAGAAAGAAGAGCGGGATGGAAAATCAACATGAGGAGTTTGCAGCCCAACGGAGTTCCTCACAGAACAGTGGAGAGTTGTCTAGTTAATGTTAGGTCTCAAATCAGATCAAGTTTATTGTCATGTTGCTGTACATACACAGTAGTACAGGCAAGATGAGAGAGCGTTTCTTCAGGATCCAATAACTTAAAGCAATTTAAATAAACAAGTGTTTGCATATCTAGATTGGCAGTTCAGCATTCTGACAGTTTGTGGCATGAAGCTGTTGATCATTCTGGAGGTTCTTCCTTTAATGCTCTGGAAACGTTTGCCTGATGGCAGCAGTTCAGACAGTTCATGGAGACGGTGTGAAGAGTCCCTGACAATGTTCAGTGTCCTGCTCCTGCAGTGACTCTGGAAAAGTTCTTGGACAGAGGTGAGGGAAACTCTGATGACCTTCTCAGCTCCTCTAACTATCCTCTGCAGGGCTTTTCTGTCTGACAGACTGCAGCTGGAGCACCATGTTGAGATGCAGGATGTCAGAACGTTCTCCACCACACCTCTGTGGAAAGTCCTGAGGATGCTGGCAGGGAGAGAGGCTTGTTTCAGCTTCCTCAGGAGATGGACTCTCCTGAAACACACTGACATTATTCCACTACAATAACACAAGTTCAGATTTTATACATCTGTCAGTGCAAGACTAGCACAAGACATCCGAGTCACCAGCTGCTGCTGCTGCTGCTGCTGCTGACCCATGTGGGCCGAGCAGCTGGCTGCAGGAGGACCTCTGAGCTCAGTGTGTCGGTGCAGGTGTGGCTTTGTCCGCTGGTTTTCTGTCTCACACAAACTCCGCTTGGACTCCGTGTGGAAGCAGAAAACCTGCAACAGAGCCACGTTTGCTGTCAGACGCTGGTGAATTAAAACCCTCAGATGCTCCCGCCGTGTCCGTCTCCTATTTCATCTTTTGTCTTCCTCTCAGTAGCTTGTTGCCCCGCCCCTTCCTTTGCGTCAGTACAGACCTGTCAGAGTTGTGATTGGCTATTCGCCGGGATTCCTCCTCTCTGATTGGTTCGCGGAGACGTCACATTCCCACATATGTCTGACTGAGTGGTAGATGGAGGGGGAATGCTGATGGCAGTTGGACGGAGGGTAAGGACGATTTCATTAATCCCTTCGTCAGACGAGGTAGACGATGAATTTAACTGTTCGGTGCCTGAGTGATTTCGTTATTGTGAGGCTTTAGGATGATTATAAAACGGGACATTCGGTGTCTACGTGTGCTGGTGGACTACAAAGTACTGGGAGTGTTAATACTCAGTCTCCCAAGTGCAGTCACACAGACAGGAGCCAAGCGCAGAAAATATATCTACAGCAGCTTTTGGCTTATATTTGTAGGACGGGATGCCACTTGATGAATAGCATTTTGTGTGTGTGTGTGTGTGTGTGTGTGTGTGTGTGTGTGTAGGTGTGTGTGTGTGTGTGCGTGTGTGGGCGTGCGCGTGCAAGAGAGAGAGCTTTACCTTTGGGCTGGTGTGATGCTTCAGTCTCTTCTAGTCGAGGTTTGGCATTCTAGCATTTATTAGTGTCCCCCTTATGACATTTCTCCCCCTGTGTCCTAATTATTCAAAATGGTCTGGATTCAGAGGCTCCACTAGTTCTCCCTGTGTTGCCATGGAAACCCCCACCCCATCCATCTCCAGCCCTTACCATCTATATTTATAGTAGCCTGTATGTGTGTCAGAGGTAGGGCTGAATGAAGTAAGCCCTGCAAGTAAAAGCCTTTTAGTGTGTATGATTCAGAGTGCTAAAATTCAATAATAAACTCTTGATGATGACAACTACAAGAAGTAATTAATGGAAATGTAAAGGACTATTCTGGTGGCTTTGCATATTACAAACCATCCATTCATTATGTAGACACCGGGGGGGCTGAAGCCTTATCGCAGCTGTCTTAGGGTGAAAGCACACTCAAATTCACACCTACAGACAATTTAGAATCACATACTAACTTCAGCTTGTTTTTGGACCGTGTGGGAGGAAGAACCTGGAGAGAACCCACGCTGCACGGAGACTCCGCGCAGAAAGATCCCAGGCATCCTAACGGGGAGGAACCGGGGATCTTCTAGCTGCGAGACAAAACAGCTAGCCGTGCTGTCCATATTACAATCCATTACCTGCAATTAATTTGCACCTTTGGATTATTAGAATGCATCTTCAAGGCACACCATATACACAACAGATCGATCAATAATCAGCCTTTCCAATTATCGAGGCTGACATCTGGCATTTATATCTGGCAGCTAAAGCTATCTGGAGGACTGTAACATCTCTCTAAAGTAAGATTAACTTTAACACTGTTTTAGGAAATTAGCTGCTTTTACAGTGACTAAGGCCACTGTTATGACGTCTAGGGTCGGCTGGGAGGAACAAAGAACCAGGTGTTATTGGTAGGGTAAAGAAATTCAGTGTTCAGTGACAAAATTAACACAAATAAACTGTGATAATACAAAGAAAACAGTGCTGGTGGATGTTGCTAAATCAAAGATTCTAATAAAACCAAATGAAGGCGAACAGAGTTAAACACAATAGCAAACACCCACCAACAACAGAAACTAAACAAACGAGTGCCTCAAAACTCAGAACTCACAAGACATGAATAACTCCTACACGAGTTATGCAGCTGCTACGGAGAACACAGAACACAAAGACATGAGCAGCACCAAGGCGAACTGTTCACACTGAATCCCAGCTGCCCTGCCTGTGAACTTGGTTGTGGATTTATAGCCAGCTGTGGTGGTTTTGCAGTCTTATTTAGAGGAGAAAACCAGGCAATGGACCAGTCAGCCAGATCAGACGGTCGGGAGAAGGATGAGGGCTTAAGAGCAGGTCTGGAGCCAGCCAGTCATCCTTGACTTCAGCCAGGTGGGGTCTGGAGCAG